TACGTCCCCCCAGGTGTCTGTGTCGTGTCAGGTTCCTACGTCTGTTCCAGTCGCTGCGTCGTGCTCCTGCCGGTCGCTTGCCCACCCCACCGTTCTGTGGCACCACCGGATGGGGCACCCGTCCCTTCCACGTCTGCGCGCTATGTCTAGTCAGCGTCTTGTCCTAGGCCTCCCACGTGTCTTGCCGTCGCTGCCGCCTTCGCCTGCGCCGCCGTGTCATCCCTGCGTCGAGGGTAGGCTGCGCGCCACCCCTCACTCCTCCTCCCTTCGTCCGGCCACCGAGCCTTTTGAGACGCTTCACTTGGACGTCTGGGGCCCAGCCTCTCGTCTAGGCCCTGAGCGTGAGCGTTACTTTCTGGTGGTAGTTGACGACTTCTCCCGCTACACCACAGTGTTCCCTCTGGCGAAGAAGTCTGAGGTGACTTCTACGCTGATCAGGTGGTTGCTCACCACTGAGGACACTCGTGGTCGTCGTGTCAGCTGTCTCCACTCCGACCGTGGGGGTGAGTTTCGCTCCGGCATTCTCGCTGGATTCTGTCGCGAGCAGGGCATTCGTCAGTCCTTGACGCTTCCAGAGTCCCCACAGCAGAATGGGGTTGCTGAGCGCCGCATAGGCCTGGTCATGGAGATCGCCCGCACCTCCCTGACTCACGCCTGTGCCCCCCATTTTCTATGGCCCTACGCGGTCAGGTACGCCGCGCACCAGCTGAACCTCTGGCCACGTGTCTCTCGACCAGAGGTTTCACCGACCAGTCTTTGGACAGGGTCCCCTGGTGTTGCGTCGCGGTTTCGTGTCTGGGGGTGCTTGGCTCTTGTCCGCGACACCTCCGCGGACAAGCTCTCGCCTCGTGCCGTCCCCTGTGTCTTCCTTGGTTTCCCTGAGGACTCCTCTGACTTCACCTTTTACCACCCTCCCTCTCACCGGTTCTTTGACTCCCGTGACGTCCGTTTCGAGGAGTCCACTCCGTACTACGTCAGGTACCCCAGTCGAGGTCTCCCGGTTCCTCCTCCCCCCCTCTTCCTGACTGCCGTTCCCCCTCCTGCTCCCCCGGTACAGCCTCCCCCCCCTGGTCCAGCCCCGTCAGGTGTGTCCCAGGCTACCCCTCCTCCTTCGGTAGCCCCTCCGGTACAGCCTCCCTCCCCACAGTCCTCCTCGCAGCGTGCCGCTGGTGCTAGCTCTCGAGAGGTTGGTGCGGCGCCTGTTCCTGTACCGATTTCTGGTTCTGGGGGTGCCGGAGTTGGAGCTGGAGTTGGGGCTGGAGTTGGCCCTGGAGTTTCTGGTTCTGGGGGTGCTGGAGTTGGAGCTGGGGTTGGAGCTGGAGTTTCTGTTCTGGAGTTGGAGCTGACCCGGTGGGTGCAGAGGACTCTTGTCGTCCGGGAGCTGGTGCTGGCCGCGCGGACAATGGGGGTGCTGCGTCTGGGGGTGAGGGTGCGCCTCCTTCGGGTTCAGGTGAGCCTGGTTCTGGAGCTGGTGTTAGTGCTGCCTCTGGGGGTGGTGCGCCTAGTTCTTCTGAGGTGGACTCTGGAGCTGCCGCTGCTTCGGACACTACTCCACCCCCCCACCCCTACCCGACTAGGCACCAGGCTCGTGTTCGCCGTGCCCGTGACGAGCAGCTGGCGTTGGAGAGAGAGGAGAGGGAGTTACAGCGGCTGGAGGAGCAGCAGCAGCAGCTGGAGCCGCAGGAGCAGCAGCAGCAGCAGCAGCAGCTGGACCCGCAGGAGCAGCAGTCCCAGCAGCAGCCGCGTCCGCAGCAGCAGCAGTCGCAGCCGCAGCAGCAGCAGCCACTTCCTCCTCCTGTCTCGGGTCTTCGGATCCTTGGTCTCCCCTCCCCTTCTCCTCCCTCCTCTGCCTCTCCTCCTGTCTACGGTCCCACGTTTCCTCCTCCTGACTCCTCCCCCGCTGTTTTCCCCAGTTCTCCGCCCTTGTCCTCTTCTCCTCCGTCTCGTTCTTGGGCTACTCGTCGCTCCCCTCGTGCTCGTCCCTCGTCTCCTGTTCCCTTCACTGACCTTCGTACTGCCTTCCTTCTTTCTAGTCCACCTCGTCCGTCTCAGTCTGTGATTCCGTCTCCTCCTGAGTCGGCCCTCACTGTGTCGCTCCCTACTCCTGTCACTGACTACTACCGCACGTACCGTCCTGTTCTCTCTCGTGTTCTCGCCTCTCTTGTTACTCACCCTCGTGCCTCTGTGTCCTCTGTGTCCGCTCTTACTGCCGCAGTTACTGACTTTGCCTCTACCCGCCGCCTTGACTACGCCACCACGCTTGTGGCTGCTCCTCCTACCAGTCCTCTGGCCGTCGGGGGTGTGTCTGCCCTTGGCTGTGACGCCCTAGAGGACAGGCAGTTTGAGCTAGAGTTCCTGGCGGCCGCTTCCCCTCATCTCTGTGCCATGCTCCTCGCCCCTGAGGGTGACCCCGACGCCCTTGACATTCCGACTCCTCGCACTTACGCTGAGGCAGTGTCAGGGCCTTGGGCCTCTCAGTGGAGAGTTGCCATGGACGCAGAGATGGCCTCCTACAGATCCACAGGCACCTACGTCCATGAGGTTCCCCCCCCTGGAGCAAACGTAGTCGACGGCATGTGGATCTACAGGGTGAAGCGGCCACCGGGATCTCCCCCGGTCTTCAAGGCGCGCTACGTGGCTAGAGGTTTCAGTCAGCGCGAGGGAGTTGACTTCTTTCAGACCTTCGCACCTACCCCGAAGATGACCACTCTTCGGGTGTTACTACACGTAGCAGCACAGAGAGACTACGAGTTACACTCTCACGACTTCTCCACTGCTTTCCTTCAGGGCAGCCTACACGAGGAGGTCTGGTTGCGTCGTCCCTCGGCCTTCACTGGCACCTTCCCTCCTGGGACCCAGCGGAGGCTGAGGCGACCTGTTTACGGTCTTCGCCAGGCCCCTCGTGAGTGGCACGACACTCTGCGTTCTACCCTCTCTGACCTTGGGTTCCAGCCGTCTTCTGCCGACCCGTCGCTGTTCGTTCGTCGTGGCTCCACACCGTTCTTTGTTCTGGTCTACGTCGACGACCTCGTTTTCGCCACTTCGGACAGGGTTGCTTTGGCAGACGTGAAGTCCGAACTGCAGAAGAGACACACGTGCACTGATCTTGGTGAGCTGCGCCACTACCTTGGCCTGCAGATCACCATGGACAGAGCCGCTCGCACCATTACACTCTCACAGTCACACATGGTGCAGCAGGTCCTTCAGCGGTTCGGGCTTCAGCACTCCACCGTACAGCGCACACCTCTAGCTGTTGACCACAGACTCACTGGTCCCTTTCCTGACGAGCCGTTTGAGCCTAGTGGTCCCTACGCAGAGCTTGTGGGTTGCCTCATGTACCTGATGACTTGTACTCGCCCGGACCTCGCCTTCCCTCTCAGCATCCTTGCGCGCTTTGTTGCGCCAGGGAGACACCGTCCTGTTCACTGGACGGCAGCTGTGAGGGTGGCGAAGTACCTAGCGACTACATCAGGCGTGGGGCTAGTTCTTGGAGGGCAGCAGTCTGTCGTACTCACTGGTCACTGTGACTCCTCTTACGCTGACGACGCTGAGACTCACAGGTCTACTCAGGGGTACTGTTTCAGTCTGGGTTCTGGAGCTGTTTCCTGGCGTTCCACGCGCTCCTCTTCTGTCTCAACCTCTACAGCTGAGGCTGAGATTTACGCTGGTGCCATGGCGGCACAGGAGTTACGGTGGTTGACCTTCTTGCTCGCCGACCTTGGTGAGCGGCCGAGCTCTGCACCGACCTTGTTTACTGACAACAAGGCGTGGATCCTCCTCTGTCGTGAGCCGCGACTGGAGAGCAGAGTGAAGCACATTCACGTCAGGTACTTTCTTCTGCGAGAGTTGCAGAGGCGTGGACAGGCTCGCTTCGAGTTTGTAGAGTCCGAGGCCAACACTGCAGACATCTTCACCAAGGCGCTTCCGCCTTGTGACCACCAGAGGTGTTGTGTGCAGTTAGGCCTTGTTGACACAGGTTCTAGTCATGCGTAGACTTGAGTTTATTGCCTCCTTCGTCTGTACACTTACTATATATACTTGTGATCTCTTGGACTGGCCTTGTGGCCACTGTTGCTTGTGCTCAGAGTGTGTGGTGACGTTGTGATCCACCCTGAGCTTTGTTTTCTTTTGGACTGGTCTTGTGACCGTACTCTTTTTTGTTTTTGCTAGACACCCCTCACTTAGGCTATGGGGGTGTGTCAAATGTTGTAGCCTGTAGTGAGGTTTGTCTTAGGGGGTACAGAAGTTAGGGTTTGTCATATGTACCCCAACCAACATCAATGCAACATCCATTCCTCATTCTGACAGTGAGATCCCTCTCATTACCCCTCTCCCCTCATCATTTCTCCCCCCACCCCCTGTCATTTCTCCCCTCCCTGCTCACTCTTTCTTTTCCCCCGGCTTACCATTGTTTCCCCCCCTCTCTTTCCTTTCCCCCTGCTAACCCTTTGCTTCCGCCCTGCTCAATCTTTCTTATCCCCTGCTTACCCTTTGTTCCCCTCTGCTCACTCTTTTCTTTTTCCCATGCTCTTTCTCTCACCGTCCTTGTCCCTATGCCACTCGGTATCTTACAATCTGATTATGCTCCCCTGTCTGCTCCTTCGCACCTTCCCTCTCCCTTCAGTGGTGCAGTTCGTCGAGCATGAAGCACCCAAGATGACATTTAGTTGTACCTAGGATTGTAAAGAATCTTCGAATGATGCAACAGAGTGTACATTCACATGAGGAAACAGGATATCCAATAATGATGGCATTGGTGATTTTTTTCTTTTTCCTTTGAAGGTTTCTTTTTTTATGCAACAATGCTTTACTGTATGTGAAGTACCGTACAAAATTTCCGTCCCAAGTAATGTTTTACAAATATCGCGATGTACAAAGCAGTGCCTGAGCTTCTCTATGTGCTCTAGCGCCTGCTGCTGCACCGGAGGCGAGTCCCCACCTGTGAAGGCACGGATTCGTCCTGCACATAGCAAGACACTACAGGAGATGGCATGGCATGCTTACATGGTGATCCAGAGAGAAAAAAGGGGAGGCATGGAGAAAAAAGGGGAGGCAGGGAGAAGAAAGGGGAGGCATGGAGAAAAAAGGGGAGGCATGGAGAAAAAAGGGGAGGCATGGAGAAAAAAGGGGAGGCAGGGAGAAAAAAGGGGAGGCATGGAGAAAAAAGGGGTGGCAGGGAGAAAAAAGGGGAGGTAGGGAGAAAAAAGGGGAGGTAGGGAGAAAAAAGGGGAGGTAGGGAGAAAAACGATAGGGCAGGGAGGTGAAGAGACGCGAATGGAAGGGAAGGGAAGAGAAGGGAAAGGGAATAAAGGGGGAAGGGAAGGGAGGAGAGAGGAAGGGAAGTGCAGGGAGGGCAAAACAAGTGAAGGAAAGGGAAGAAAGGAGAGGGGAAGGGAAGTGCAGGGAGGGCAAAAGAAGGGAAGGAAAGGGAAGGGAGGAGAGGGGAAGGGAAGTGCAGGGAGGGCAAAACAAGGGAAGGAAAGGGAAGGGAGGAGAGGGGAAGGGAAGTGCAGGGAGGGTAAAAGATGGGAAGGAAAGGGAAGAAAGGAGAGGGGAAGGGAAGTGCAGGGAGGGCAAAAGAAGGGAAGGAAAGGGAAGGGAGGAGAGGGGAAGGGAAGTGCAGGGAGGGCAAAACAAGGGAAGGAAAGGGAAGGGAGGAGAGGGGAAGGGAAGTGCAGGGAGGGTAAAAGATGGGAAGGAAAGGGAAGAAAGGAGAGGGGAAGGGAAGTGCAGGGAGGGCAAAAGAAGGGAAGGAAAGGGAAGGGAGGAGAGGGGAAGGGTAGTGCAGGGAGGGTAAAACAAGGGAAGGAAAGGGAAGGGAGGAGAGGGGAAGGGAAGTGCAGGGAGGGTAAAAGATGGGAAGGAAAGGGAAGGGAGGAGAGGGGAAGGGAAGTGCAGGGAGGGCAAAACAAGGGAAGGAAAGGGAAGGGAGGAGAGGGGAAGGGAATTGCAGGGAGGGTAAAAGAAGGGAAGAAAGGAGAGGGGAAGGGAAGTGCAGGGAGGGCAAAAGAAGGGAAGGGAGGAGAGGGGAAGGGATGTGCGACGAGGACGTCAAGAAGGGAAGCGAAGGGAAAAGAAGGGATTGGAGGGGAATGGGAGCAAAGGGAAGGGAGGGGTAGTGCATTGTGAGGGAGTGAGAAGGTCCTCTGTGGGTGGCGATGAGGCGGCGACCTGGAGGCGGCACGCCGTTGAGGAGGCCAGGCGGCGAGGCGGCGATGTGGCGGCGAGGCTCCTATCCGGCGGCGATGACAAATCGCTGCGGCGAGTCGGTGTTGTGGTTGCGATGTGGATATGGGAAGGCGAGGTGGCGATTTGGCGGCAAAGAAGGTGCGAGGCGGCACTGGAGGTCGCACGACCAGGGCGTGATGCAGAGCGGAGGCGAGTTTGGTGGGGAGGCTAGTGGCTAATGCGCAGTGAACCTGGCTAATGGGGGATCATGCCGTTTATGTTGCGCCACGGCGTCGTGCAGGAACGACGGGAGAACAACGAGCCTCTTTCCTGGTCACTACGCGCTCGTGCCGTGCTATCGACATTCGAATGCGATGACGAAACCCTAAACACATGTGGGGTGTGACATTCTCGTACGTACTATGTCGCCGTAGCGTCTTGAACTATTTCTTAGTAGCGTGATGGCTTTCCAACTCTAGTTCAGATTTGTCAAATCGACGGGGTTAAGGTTAAGGTTATATATTGATCGGAATCAATGTACAATGATTAAAAACATAGAGCTGTCTAGAAACATGGCCGAGGTGGCCAGCATCCTAAAAAGGAGCACGTGGATCACACGTTATTCCTTGTCCTCTCGGACAACCGCCAGCAGCCTGGGGAGACGCTCTATGCAGTGCCTGATACGGTGGTCGGAACGGGTTTCCCAGAAGCCATGAGAATCTGAGGTCGGGGTGAATGGAGGGTGTACCGGACCTGTCGAAAAGGAGGAGTCGGAGTTTCTGAGCTCGCCTGATGCTAGAAGATATGCGTTGACGCTTCTTGGTGGATTGGCGTCTGCCTCTCCACATAAAAATTTTGAAGGCGATGAGGAACTGGGCTAGAATCAGCTGCAGGATCTCGAAGCTCGAGGAGGAGGAGGAGTTGCGGTATTTGTGGTCGCAACGGCTGTTCCACAGCGTCTTGACTGCAGCTCCAACTAGTAGACTCCAAGGGGGGGACTGTCCAACCCGTGATTGTATCGGGAAGAAAATGTGTTCGGGGGGGTGGTTTGACTGAGGTGGAGGTCAGCGACTCTGCGGAGGGCCGAGATGACATTTCCAGCGGAGGAGCATTCAAAGAAGATATGTGGTAGCGTCTCGACGACGGCAGCTAGGCATCGGGGGCAAACCCCTCGATCATCAAAGTATTGGAAGCGTGACCCAGAGGGAAGGGTGAGTGTATAGAGTCTGAAGAGGATGTCCCGTTGGCGGCTCGGCTGGTCTTTGAGAAAGGGGTCCTTAAGGCCAGGGAGAGGAGGAGGAGGAAGGGTGAGGTCGCGGGTCCATCGGCTGTGGTGGGTGAGCGGTTGTGCTCTGTAGAGGAGGCGGCGGATGTCGGCGAGGCTGGGGACGCCGTCCTGTAGAAGATCTATCCTAGCTCCTAACCCTGCACCTGTATGAAGTGGCCCTGCGAGCCACCAGTCCCTGACGTGCACCTCTATGAGGTCCTGTAGACGGAAGAGTCCAGTATTTGCTGGGGTGTGGGTAATGTGATGGTCTGGCGAGACGAGGTGGACATTAGCCGAGACGGAGGAAGGGGGGATGTAGGCGATGACACGGAGGGCTAGATGAGAGATGGAATAGTGGTCGTCCGAGAGCATGAACCAGTCTCCGGAGGAGGCACAGGAGACGTGAGGGGTTCGGAGGGCGGTCCACCAGGGACGCTTGATAGCTTTGATGAGCTCTGGGAGGATGCGTGTTGCGTCGTCGTGGAATTCCTCCGGGACTTGGGAGCAAAACTCTTGAACAGAAATGGGGCCAACGTCAGATTTGGTGATTCGGACAATGTGTCCGACGCGGAGCTGACTCGTAAGTAGGAACCGCTCGTGTTGGCGGGTGCCAAACGGTCGACCGTCGGGTTTAAGAAGCGAACGGTTGAAGGCGAGAGGCTCGGTGAGGATGCATTGCATGCGTAGGGGGGGGGCATGAATTATCAGGGGGAGGGAAAGGAGGGCTTTAAGTTCGTCCACTGCTCGCGGGGGGATGAAGGAGGGAAGATAGTCACGTTCAAGGATGGCTTTATAAGAGAGCAGACCGTGAAGCCCAAAGGGGAAAGGGGTCAGGGTACGCGTGACTTCCTCGGACGGGGTGGGTCCAAATCTGCGCAAGGCACGCTGAATAGTGAGGGCTTTGACTTGGGTAGATGGGGCGATCACCCCAACCCTGCCGTCTTGGGGTGAATTGTAGAGGAGACCGTTGGGGAGGAAGCGTTGTGCAAGGCCATCCTGTTTATGTTTCGAGGACGAGAGGAAGTTCCCGACTGATATGTTTAGTCGCTTGATGGTGTCGGGTGGTACAGGTTGGAAGCGGCCGGGACAGGAGATAACAGAGTTCAGAAAGATCGAGGACAGAGATTTGCGGCACGTGACAGTGGCATGCAAGGCTGCTAGGAATTTTGCGGTGTTTTGTATACGGGCAAGCGCTTTAGTCCAGGTGGTGGATCCGGGGTGTAGTCGTTCAACATAAATTCCAAGGATGCGTTTTGCTTCATTGGGGGCTCGGACGGGAATAGGTCCAGCGTGCACGAGATTGGTGGGGGGGATATTGAAAGGAATAATGTAGCATTTGTTCCAATTGGGGATCTCCCCAGATACGGATCCGAACAGGAGTATTACTGCAAGGCCGAGCTCTGTGTCTGAGGTGAGGAAGAGAGTGACATCATCGGCGTAGCATGCCATGAGACGGCGCTGAACGGGGGACAGAGCGAAGCCGGGGAGGAAGAGGGACATGTAACGGTGAAAGATCTCGATGACACAGACGAAGAGTAAGGGTGCCAGAGGGCAGCCCTGTCGGACGCCCGTACGGACGGGGAAGGTGGGGCTGAGCATGTTGTTGACAGAGATTCGTGTGTTTGTGTCGAAGTACATTAGTCGTACCCAATGGATGAAGGGTGCAAGGAGCCCGAGGACTGCTAAGGCTTGGAGGAGAAAGGGGCGATCGACAAGGTCGTAGGCCTTCCGAAAGTCCACCGTAAGAGCAAGAAGAGGGGTCGAGGAGAAGGCTGCCCAGTCCATGATGTCGAGGGTATCATTGATTGTGTCCCCGATTTTCCTGTGTTAAATAAAGGCGGTTTGGAATGGATGGATGAGCTGGGGGAGAGCGAGCTCAAGACGGTTCGCCAAGCACAGAGCAAGTACTTTGTAGTCAGCGTTCATGAGGGTGATGGGGCGGAGATTCTCTACTAGCGAGAAGTCACCCCTTTTGGGGATAAGGACAGTGCGTCCGGTCAGCATGGACGGGGGTAGGCGAGAAAGAGGCTGTGGTGGGGAGAGCAGGAAGTGGAAGACCGGTGCAAAACGCGGGGCGAATTGCCGAAAGAGTTCACCGGGTAGGCCGTCTGGGCCGGGGGTTTTTCCTCGAGACAGAGAGAGCAACGCTTTTCCGATTTCGGCTAGGGAGAAGGGGGCGCCGAGGTGTAGGAATAGAGGGTTCGGGATGGAGGAGGGGGGGATGTGTTGCCAGAAGGCACTGTTAGGTGTGGCGGGTGTCAGAATCCCAACCACTAGACCATTGGGATAAAAGGGCTTGTTTTAGTAGCGGGTGAGTGCGCCCATAACCCCCCAGGCGAACGCGCCTGTAACCCTCTCTAGGATCAATCGGGCATCCACTGTGCAGATCTACTGACACCCCCCCACACTGGGAGGCCCAGGACTAAGCACAGCGACAACGGCCTACATGTGCATACACTGGGAATCAAACCCGAGACCGCTCTGATACCATGTCAGAATCCCAACCACTAGACCATTGGGATAAAAGGGCTTGTTTCAGTAGCGGGTCAGTGCGCCCATAACCCCCCAGGCGAACGCGCCTGTAACCCTCTCCAGGATCAATCGGGCATCCACAGTGCAGATCTACTGACAGCGGGGTTGCTTCCGCTGTAGAGTGTCTGGAAGAAGTTAGAGCACAGGTTGGTCATGGTGGGGAGGTCCGACGTTGTCTGTCCATTTGGTAATGTCAGGGAGCTGATGATCGAGCCCTTGATTTGCGAGTTGAGGTCAGAGATCAGGGAGGCGAAACCCATTTCTCTGTGCCCTTCCACTTTGAGCTTGGCCTTGAGCACAATCTCGGATGCTTTCGAGGCTTCATACCTGGCCAGATGGAGTCTTGCTTGGTCAAGGCGGTTAGACTCAGCATACGTCAGGGCCGTGTACGCAACATGCCGCTGTAGTGAGCCTATGGTGTGTTCCAAATGTGCGATCGTGCCATCGACTCGGCGTCTCTCCTGGTTGGAGAAGCGCTTGAGGTTAAGGGTGAGGTCGAGCTTCCATGTGTCCCAGGAGTCCGGGGAAGGGGTGCTTGGGAAGACAGCGAGGGCGGAGTCGATGATCTGTGGGACGTGGGGGCGCATGAATAGATGCTGTCGGAGGCGCTACGGTCGGGGTGCAATTGTGAGGTTGATGAATGTGAGCGACCAGAGGGGGGCGTAGAGGTGGTCCGTGATTGAAGTGCGGGTTTGGATGTACGGGCTTGCCGCGAAGCGGGGTACAAAGGCCCGAGAGATGTAAATCATGTCGAGTCGTGAGGAGGTGGGCGGTGCTGCACAGTTACGATGCTGCCTCCCATAGAAGGAGAAGACGTCAATCGGCGTGGGGTAGAGCGTGCGGAAGGTGTCGACCAGTGCATGGTCGTCCATGAGTTTGGCGAAAGAGGTGCCCTCGCGCATTTCGAAATCTTTGAGTGGGCGGTTTCTGTCGATGGGAAGGACTACCGAATTGAAATCTCCGACAAGCATGGATGCAGCAGCAGCGGTTGGGGCTTCCAATGCCGGGGCGAGCGTGGTGGTCCACCACACCCGGCGTTCGTAAAACTGTGTGGGGGCGTAGATGGCGATAAGGCGGATTTGCTCGCGAAGATAATTGAGGTGAACGGTGAGAAGTCTTCCATCTGCGGAGGGAAGCGGAGAGGACATTGATATGGCCCTGTTGAAAGAGAGGATGGAGATGCCACCGATGAGCGTGGGCCTCCCTGTAGCGCTGTCGGTAGAGAGTAGTGCTGGGGCGTGCGCTGAGGCGTGCGGTCGAAACTTTAAGTCAAGGTTGGGGATTCTGCGGATAAGTCGGGTGTCGATAAGGACGACGAGGTCGGTGGGGGCAGGGAGGCGCGATAGCCACAATTTAAGCTCGTCCATTTTGCGGGTTTTGTTGATTCCGTTCACATTGATGCATAGGATGCGTAGGTGTGTTAACATGGCCATGCTGTGGAGGCCACCGCACGAGAGATCGTGCGTATCTACGGCCTAGGTCGTATAGGGGTCGGTAGCAGGGTCGACCGGGGCGGAAATGGGGTGGAATGGGGTGACGGGGTACCATAAAGCTCTCCGTGGGAGCCTTGGGGGAGGCGGTGAGCTGAGCATTGGCGTGTTGTCATGGGGAAGGGGGGTCTTACGAGAGCGGAGCCAAGGCTGTGTGATCTGTGAACGGTTAGTGTATCCGTTTCTTGGTCGAATAGGGGACGTACAGTCAACGGGTAGGTGGGGTGGGGCTAAAGTTCCTTCGAGTCGTGTGGGTGTTTTGAATTGTTAAATTCTCTGGCCAGACTTTTGCCTGATCCTTTATTTTGATCTGGGGGGCACGTTGAATGTGGAGGGGCGGTTTTTCTCGGAGAGGGGGGAGGGGAAGTAGGATGTTCGGAGCGCAACGAGCATGCAAGGTCGAGTTTCATTAGATGTTCATGAGGAGTACAACTCAGGCCCAACAAACATATGCAGCAAACAAGGCAAGTGCATGGGGCAGCTAAGCACGGGTCGTAATCTTCAGCTTCTTGAGGAAGGCTTCGATTCCTCCCTTCTTCAGGAGGGCAGCAAAGCTCCAGGTGAGGTAAGTCTCCTTGGCAGCGGTGTTGTGCGCGTTGGCGAGCAGCTGGGCGCGGTGCTGTGCCGACTCCATGTGCTTCAGCGCGCTGTCCAGCGTCGGGCCGCATTCGAAGTTGCAGGACACGCAGGTCCAAGGTTCGATATCCAGATCCGTGCCGATGAATAGGAGGCCGGGGTCGGCGCGGAAGGCGTTGGACGCAGCGCAAGCTCCGAAGGCACCTCCTGGGGGGCAGTGCAGGGGGGGTAAGGCCGAGGCCAGAAGGGAGAGGGCGGGTGAGCAGAGGTCGAGGGTGGGAGGGGGAGGGGAAAGGGGGTGGATTAGGATATTTGATGCAAAGGGAGCATGGGAGCAGAAAGGCAAAACATCAGAATTCGGGGACTCGAAAGGGGAGCGGGGCAGGGGGGAAGGAGGTGGGGCAGGACGGGTTACCGTTTGCCTTCTGCAGTTGGGCGACGGGGAGGTTCTTCTTGTTGAGCCGACCCTTGCGCTTGGTAGATCGCATGGTCCTCCACCCGGTGGTTGCTTGAGCAAATAGAGCAGACATGGGTGGAGACATTCACGAGAATGTCCGGCTCGGTACCGCCAGAGGGGATTAGGGCCGGAATGTTGAGGAAGTCGGGGTCATCCGGCAGGGGGGTGGGGATGCCTGTCATGATGGGGAGGAAGACCCCGTCATAGGGATCTTTCATGCGGTGGAAGTGGGCGATACCCGCCAGACATTCGGGTACCAGGTACGCGAGCAAATCCGACTCCTCAAAGCGGGTCGGGACCTTGCGCAGGGAGAGGACTGGGGCGCCATTCGCTTTGGCCTTCGTGAAATCGGGCTGAGGGTCGACATACGGCTTGACGAAGATGTGTCGGCTGGGGGAGAGCTCGATGGGGTGGTTGAAGATGGGGAGAAATTCGATGCTTGGTCGGCTAGGAGAAGCAGATCGATGCATAGGCCCGCCCGGGGAAGCGCAGGGTTTCTCCGTTGGTAGGGCGGGCATCAGGAATGAAGCCGCAGTCGAAGAGAGACGGGCTCAGCTTCGCGCGGATCTTGGAGAAAAGGGTGGCTTGGATAGCGTCGGCTCCGGCCTCGGGGAAGATCAGGGTAACCACGTGGCGGCTGCTCATCGGGAGGACACGAGGGATTAGAGCAAGGGGGGGGGGGGGTGGGCAGCTTGGTGGTGGGAATGGGGCAGCTCCGGCTCGGGAGTCTGATCCATCTGCGGGGACATCGGAGCGGTCGTCTCGGCGGTCGCACAGGGAACGGGCGGGGGTGAGGAACTGGGACTGGTGGCCGGCGGAGCGGGGTGAACGGGAACAGCATCGCTCGGTGCCGTGGTAGAGTCGGTCGCGGAGGGGGCCGTGGTGCTGGCGGTTTGCACTGCGGGCATCGTGGGCGTGTCCGCGGGTTCTTCTGTGACCTCAGAGGTAGCGGCAGTCGTCTCATGGGGGGGGGGGATGCTGGAGTCGGCGGCGACGCAAGGCTTCTTGGGGGCGGGGGCGTCGGTGGGAGACCGGGTGCGTGGGAAGTTGGATCCAGCGGGTTCGTCCGGCATTTCCATCGCTTCGAGCATCTCATCAGTGAGCTCCATGTCCTCATCGAACTGCGGGATTTCAGCCATGGCTCAACGGTGAGGCGGGGAGGCAAAAGGTGTGGGAGCAAACAGGGAGATGAGTGATGAGAAAGAAGGACGGAGGGCTAGAAATAGTCTCACGCGACAGCACGTACCGGAGAGATAAGGCAGCGCACATGGGAAGGAAGCAAAGTTTGGCTGAGGCATTGTACCGGTGGGTGAAGGAGCCGGGGACCGTAGAGGTCGCGAGAAGGCAAGAGAAAAGTTGGCCGCCCGGCCCACGTGTGTGTTATCACATGCAGAAGGCGGTGCTTTGGGGTGAGCGGTGTGTGGGGGCTGCCGCGTCCGATCAAGGCCGGGGTCAAATTGAGCGAAGCGGATGCAAAGGCGTTGGCCATAGCAATTTCGAGGAGGTGACCGGCAGCCTGATCGGTGTTCCAGGTCTGGGTTCCATACCGGCTTGAAAGCACGGCGTGGGGTTGAGAGAGTGAGCAGTTTTCGAGGTATCGTGAGAGGGGAGAAGGTTTGAGTTTGACAGCTGAGAGGTAGAGAAACAAACCTCGAGGGCAAGCAGGGAGAGCGTGAGCGGGATGGCAATTCTCTCGGTGTGCGGAGGGGCGTGGGAGGGAGGCCACACGGAGAGGGAACGGAGAGCAAAGGCCAGGGCGGAGCATGGTCCTCCACGTACCTTGGTGGCAGAGGCGTGGAGAGGAACCTGATGTCGCGGTGGTGTCCTGTGACTGGTGGATGAGAGGAGGGGTGGCAATGGCAGTCGGGCTCACCTTGTGATGGTTAGCGGCCTGTATCTAGACGAAAGGGTAGCAGGGCATCAGAGCTGCTCCAGCGGGGCTGCCAGCGCACCTTCTGAGGGCGTGGAACTGTGGTTGTTGTGGCGGTGCGCTTTATTGGGGGTAGTTGACGCTTGCGTGGCGAGTGCCAGTGTATAAGTCGATGAGACCGAGCGAGGCGGTTTAAGGGTTGTTGCTTAGACAATTGTTCCACGTTGTGTGGGGAGAGCGTGTAAGCGTGCACGGGGGGGTGTGAAGAAGACTTACCGATGGTTCGAGGAGTTCGCCACGCGAGGGCGAAATTATTGTCGAGGGGCGTTTGTTGGTGTCTCTGGGCTGAGAGATAAAGTTCGCGTGCGGCGGCGGGAGGTGGGCCAAGTGACGTATGTATTTGCCAGCATAACTCGAAGGCATCATGACGGCGTAGGGAGATTTTGTCGGAACGGAGGTGTGGAGCAGTTCTCGGGGTTGGCGTGGGGTGGCCAAGTTGCGTGGAGCAGGCAGGGATGATGGTTGCCACGAGTTGGCGGGGAGTCGAGTGACTGTTTGGGGGCACCGTGTGGCTGCATGTGAGGTGAGAGAAAACACCCAAAACAAGCACAAAAACAAACACAGACAGGGGACTTAGGCGAGAAAAACTTACCTCGAGTCGGGAGAGTCCAAGCTTGCGAACCTTGCATAATCTGCAGATGGTGTGGCTCTTCCTCGACTTCAGGTGAAGGAGGTTAAAGCCAGCAGCTAAAATAGTGACCCCCCCCTTCTAGTTGGGTCCACTTGAAAGTTGAAGTGCTTTTCTTTATGTTTTTTCCAAGCGCATATGATGCTGATCGAGTTTCCAAACTTCAACTCAAACAAAATCGTCGCAAGCATGTGCAAATGCGTCGCTCAAAACATTGCGATGCGCAAGTCTCATTCATATCCAGTGCCAAATTCGGATTGTGAAGCACGTCCAACTCATGCAAAGCAAGCCCAACGCACGCAAAGCAAATGCCTTAGACATGGGCCTGCAAGGGAGGCGATAACATGGGAAAAACAAGAAGCGAAAAAAACAGAGAATTTTAGGGCACGAGAGAAGAGACACTTAGTGCAGCAGAAACGAGGACGCGGGAAGAGAGATGCGTGAGCAAAATCTGCGGAATGGTAGGGAGATGGGAGGGGCATGGGGTAGGGTCAGATGAGGTGGAGCGAGGGCGACGGAAAGGGAGAGGAGAGAGCAAGGGAGACGGATAGGGAGGGAAGAGAGCGAGGGCAATGGAAAGGGAGGGGGAGAACGAGAGGGCGACGGGAACAGAGGGGAGAGAGCACGGGCGACGGAAATGGAGGGGAGAGACCAAGGGCGGTGGAAAAGGAGGGGAGAGAGCAAGGGAACAGGAACAAGGACCTGAAGGGATCGACGGGGGGGGAGGTAAATCTGTACGAAATTAGGGTCCCTATTGTTATAATAAGAAAACATAGAAGAACTAGTTGGCTGCATAAGTATTTAGCGTCAGGTGATTAACCCCGCCCCCGCCAGCAACTAAAAGTATCGTCACTTAATACTTTGAGCTTCAGGAAAGGGGGATAGCAAGGTCGATATTACTACGAGACGGCAGAAATTTTCGCGAGGCGACGGGAGAGAGCGGGGGCGACGGGAGAGAGTGTGGGCGACGGGACAGAGCGAGGGCGACGTGAGAGATAGAGGGCGACGGGAGAGAGGGCGACGGGGGAGAGGGCGACGGGACAGAGCAAAAGAGAGAGCGAGGGCGATGGGAGAGAGGGCAACGGGAGAGAGGGCGACGGGACAGAGCGAAGGAGAGAGCGAGGGCGATGGGAGAGAGGGCGATGGGAGAGAGGGCGACGGGAAGGGAGCGGAGAGAGAGAGCGCAATGGGAGGGGAGGGGGGAGAGAGAGGGCGACGGGAGAGAGGGCGACGGGAAGGGAGCGGAGAGAGAGAGCGCGATGGGAAGGGAGGGTGGAGAGAGAGCGCGATGGGAAGGGAGGCGACGGGAAGAGCGCGGATAGAGAGAGCGCGACGAGAAGAGAGGGGCGAGAGAGAGGGCGACGAAAGGGCGTTTCGGCGGCGAGCGCGTTCTGCCGAAAAATCTCGAGGCAAGTGTCGCTACGCGGCGCGTAAGATTCCTCGCCACTAGGCCATGAATAGAAGGATGAGGATTAAATTTATAAAAGTGGTAGTTGCCTAGGCAAAAATGCCTACGTTTTCAGCTATTCTAAGCCTGGCTAAACTAGAGAATAGAGCGGAAAGAAGTAGTGGAACCCAAGTCCAGCTTGAAGTTGGAGTTGGACCCAACGATCGCAATGATCGCCGTGCAGCCGTCGTGCGGGTGCATCATGTTGAAGGCGACTCCTTGTGTAAGGCCCAAAAATTTCGTTTTTGGCGGGAGCCAATCAAATGGCTACGATATGCACACACGAAATGTTTGAAACAGTGCTTTGCAAACCCACTCTGGAAGACCCTTTCAAGCTGGGACGGGGTTCACTATTCCATATTTCGGTTTTAGGTTCGGGGCAGTCCCGGCCATTACGGCCAGAGTGATGTGCTTGCGCCATAGTCGGGCTGGGGGTACGCGCCTAAACACGGGTCGCCAAGCGGGCCCAGGCTGGCATCCAGTTGGATTGGATGTCGGTCAGGCATGTCAAAGTTGTTGGGAACAATAAGTCTTAAAGCGCCTCTGTCGTGTCGAAACTCAGGACACAAGCGAAGCAGTCCAAATCGAAGCATCGCGAGTCAACCCTCGGAGGTTAGGGTAACCGCCTGGAGGTTACGCGAAGGTCAAAAGTCAGCGACCTTTGACTTGACAAATACAGCGCGACGGCAAGGACACACAACTGACTCGACATTGAGCAGTTGCCCGAGTCGCACTGTATCTAAGCGCAACAGCAAAACAGTTTAATTATATCTTTTCGTATTCCTTGTACTCTTATATCAAGCCTTGTATTTGCTTGTTTTTAATCAACTTACTTTGCCCTCACATACTAGCGCAAGGTGGTTCAAGGACTTTTCATTCAAACGCTTCCGCTATTACAATCCTACTCAGACTCTAACTCTACAAAGATCCTAGGGCATCTCAGCCCAACATGGTATGAGAGCAGATAGAGTTCAAAGTTACTTTTTCTCTTAATACTTAATACAAGGAAGACATGTCTACTAGGAAGGAGAGGAGCTCCTCCAACGGTTCTCCAGGCACTACCCCTACTCCACCTCCTGTCTCTGGTCTGCAGACGGAAGAAGGGACTACCACGAGACCAGCAGCTGGGTCTACGGAAACGCCCGCAGGCTTCGATCTAAGCATGATGGAGAAATTCTTCTCCTTCATGTCCTTCTACGAGCAGCACCAGCAAGGAGTACCTGCGCAGTCAAACAACAGCAACAACAACAACGTAACTCCTATGAGTCTCGACGGCTCATCCTACGCACGCGGAATTCAACAACAACAGCAGCAGCCTACCTTTGCGCCGTACGAGCCCCAGCGTGGCTCCGTCAGCTTCATGCCGCAACCGCAGTCTGCACCGGGACAAGAAAGGGCATTGGACGCATTACAAGTTCAATCGCAATTCGCGCATGTTCTCAAGCTGCAAACGACAAAGCCTTTCGACGGAAAAGACTTCTTCACCTGGTCGTTCGAGTTCGAACTGATGATGGAAGGAGCACAGATTCTCGGCTTCTTCGACGGGTCCCTGCCATATCCAACAAACGGGACACAATATGAGAAGCAGCAGTACAGCTATCAATCAATGATGGCGTACACGATACTGCTAAGAAACATCACCCCGACCCAGCAGCAGAACATCAGGACTTACCGAGGCTACGGCAACTCCGCGGAGCTCGCGTACAACCACCTGAAGAACCTGTATCAAGCAACAGACAGCGTAAATCAAAGCAAGTTAATGGCGCAGTTGACAACAATTGAAATGAAACCAGGCGAGAAAGGCATGGCTTATATCAGCCGCTGCCGCGAACTGCGCGACAAGCTTCTTCGATGCGGAGGGTCGATTGCAGAAGACGCCTTTGTCACGGTGGTCATCGGCAGTCTCGGCCCCAACTGGCGCTCCACTCGCGCCATATTACGAGCACACGGGAGGATTTCCGAAGCGGCACTTTGCGCCAAAATTCATGCCGAGCAGCAGGACATGGACCTGCAAGAAGAAAGACACAAGAAGAAAACATTTGCACCGGAGTTTGCGTTTCACACTCAGCGACGATACAACAACAACAACAATCAACAACAGCAACAAGTGAAGACGGTACCTCCGTTTTGCCACATCTGCAAGACTTCGGGACACCCTCGCACGCACTGCCCGTCTCGTCAGACAACACCACAGCGACAACTCTGGCCTTCAAGCTCCCAAGTTGCCTCAACACAAGCAAATCCGACGACCTCAATCCAAGCTTCAACGACTCCAACAGGACAATCTGCACAAGGAGCAAGAAACATTGTCAACTGCATGGTGAAGATAACTGATTCGTGCACAACTGAATCACCACCTCACTACTCACCGAAAGAAGAGCTCGACAACAGGACGCCTCGCCGCGAGTCACTCCAACCGAATCCGACGTACGCCGCCATCGCTCAAAGCGAACCGTCCGGGCAAGACACCTGGTTCTTGGATAGTTGTTGCGGACAACATATGTGCTCCTCGGGACGCTTCGTTCAACGCGAACATCGACTCCAGCGAGAAGTAGTCATCACGGTCGCCAACAACCAGAACTTGCGCACACGACGACAAGGAGTAGTTCAGCTTCAATCAAGAGAAACAGACGTCATACTGCACATGTCAAAGGTACTCATCACAGAAGGACTCGGTTATAACTTACTGAGTGTCAGCCAGCTGATGGCGAAAGGCATCCACTTGGAAGCCGACAGCACCAACCAGGAGTTTAAACTGTACCACGGGAAGGGCGGCCTCTACATTGGAAGAGCAGTTTTGAAGAACAACGTCTTCGTCCTCGATTTCGTCCCCGACCTTGGCACTGCAGATAGCGACGCCATCGTCAACTTCGCCGATTGGACACACCCCCCGGATCTCGATCCCGACTTCAGCCCGGGAGGTTTGTGGTACTTGCACACCATCCCTGAAGCAGAACGAACACGAGCGTTAGCAACAATTCAACAAACGGCAGTAGCAGAGACAACATCGACAGCAGCAGAAACATCATCGGCAGCAGCAGGACCAACGACACCAGTCATGGTCGACGAAGCACCACCAACACCCGCACAGCAACTGAACCCGACTCAACGAGAAGTCCATAGAAGCGCCAATGTCGTCGCCAGCTTCTACTCCAACTCCGACGCGTATCAACGCTCACCCGGACATCGCGCTCCTGAAGACATCTGGCTCGCACGCACAGGACATCCAAGCAACACAGTATTAAATAACACAATACGAGCAGGAGTCCTCGACAAAGATTTGCTACTACTACTCGACGGCAGAGAACTTCAACGGGCACGAGGAACTTGCCTCATCTGCCCCGAAGCCGACTTACCCCATCGATCGTTTTCTTCTCACCACAACCCGAGCGCACCTGCATACGCACCACTCGAGAAAGTATACAGCGACATCCTCTTCAATCGAGAACCAGGACAAGTCACCTACAATTACACGATAACCTTCATCGACGCCGCCACTCGATACGTCTGGCATCGAAACCTACCCAGCCGCGACATGGCACTCGCAGCGTTTGCCGCTTGGCTACCGGTAGCAGAGAGGGAGTCAGGAACACAGCTGAAAAGCTTCCAGTCAGACGGAGGAGGAGAATACACCTCTCAGCGCTTCAAGCAGTACTTGGCAGAAAGGGGAATCAAGCAACTCCTCTCCCTTCCCTACGCCCATCAGCAGCAAGGTGTTGCAGAAAGAATGAACAGGACTCTGCAGAACAGCATGCGCAAACTGCTACGTGGCATGCGGCTACCCAACCACCAGTGGCCTGCAGCAATGGACCATGCTCTCATGCTGCACAACTTGCTGTCGTCGTCGTCACTCCCGAACAACGCATCACCGCATCTGCTGTGGACAGAAAGCAGGGCAGCACAAGAATGATACGAGTTTTCGGATGCATGGTGCAGTACCGACCCCCAGAAGCACGAGCGGGAAGATTTTCACAACGGGCACAGTGGGGACTACACCTCGGCATCGAGAAAAATTACAACGCGTGGAAAATTTTTTATGTCCACTCAAAGGAAATAGTAGCAGCACGTGATGTGATCTTCTACGAGCGACTCAACCTTCAAACGTACCTCGCCAACTTGCACGAGAATCGGGACCCCACAGGTGGTTTTCGTGGTGACCGAGCCTTCGCCTCAGCAGCGGACGAAGCAGACTGGGATGAACAGAACGTCGACAACGCATCGGAAGAAACCGGACCTCTCCCGTACTGCTCCGTCGACGTGCCCATGGACGAAGACAATCCTCGCGACAGTGTCAACGCCGAAATCTTCTATCACTTCGCCGACAACGGTTACGTAACACCTGCGACAGTCAACACAAACGAAGCAGAACGGATAGGGCCAAATTTCATACCCGATACAGAAGCGGGAGACGAAGCAGCTTATCCCGAGGATCCAACACTCCCTCGATACTCACAGACTGGACTGCAAATCCTCGGCCTCGTCACCGCAGTCCACGGCAACGCACTTCCAAAGGAGCCTGCGACGGTTCAGCAGGCTCTGGGGGGGGGAACACAGGGAGAAATGGCGCGAAGCCATGGACAGAGAGTTAAAGGCACTGGAGGAACGCAACACTTGGAAGGTTGTTCCCACAAGCGTGGCAAGGAACAAAACCATTCTCACCGGGAAATGGGTCTTCCGCATCAAAACGAAAGCAGACGGCACAATCGAGAAGTTCAAAGCACGCTGGGTCGTGCGTGGATTCGACCAAGAGCAAGGACGAGACTTCACCGAGACATTCGCCCCAGTTAGTCGACATACCTCTCTTTGAATTCTTCTCGCCGTTGCCGCCATGAAGAAGAAGAAACTGCGACAAATCGATGTCGCCAACGCATTTCTCTACGCACCCGTCGACGCCGAAATCTTCGTCGAACTCCCACACGGTACCCACGGAAACCCCAATCAGGTCTGCCAGCTACTGAAATCGCTCTACGGAATCAAACAAGCCCCGCGGCTGTGGCAACAGCACCTACACACCCGACTCACTCGCATCGGATTCCGCCAACTGCCGCACGACCAAGGAATGTATCGATTCACTAAAGACGCCGATTACATCCTACTGATTGTCTACGTCGACGACCTACTCTACATCGGCTCCACCGACGACATCACCACCTGGTTCGAAGGGGAGCTGCAGAAGGACCTCACGCTCACGGTTTCTTCTACCGTCACCCAGTACCTCGGGCTCAACATCCGCGAAGAAGAAAATACTATCTACTTAAGCGCCGAGAAATACGCCGACACTATCGCCAAGCGCTTCTCGCTCACACCTACCGCTATCGCCACGCCGTACCGCTACACGGCAGGAAGTAACAAAGGAAATTCCGCTCCACTCAAAGCTGCCGGAATACGAGACTACCGGAGGAAACTGGGCTGCCTCCTCTTCGCAGCCGTCACCTGCCGCCCGGATCTATCCTACTCCGCAAGCCAACTCGCTACCTACCTCAAGAAACCCGAAGCAGAGCCCCTGGCGGAGCTCGATCGCGTACTACACTACTTCGTGAGCACTCCGACGATCGGCCTGACTTACTACAAAAACGAAACTACGACCACGAAACTAATCGGCTACGTCGATGCCGATCATGCTGGCGATTCCGACAATAGGCGCTCTCGCACTGGCTACGTCTATCGTCTCGAGCCTATCGGACCTATCTCTTGGCAGTCGAGCAAGCAGGAACTAATCGCTCTCTCTTCAGCTAAAGCATAATATATCGCCCTCTGCTCAGCCACCAAGGAAGGACTCTACCTTCGCGAGCTGCTGGAAGAAGCATAGTTAGCCGAGTTACCCAACTTCACCCTATTCTGCGACAACCAATCTGCAATTCGCATCGCCAACAAAAGCGGATTCGCCAACAGAACGAAGCATATCGCTCTGCGATACTTCGTGAAAGACGAGATCGAGAAAGGGAAACTCGAATTATCCTACTGTCCCACGTCCGAGATGGGAGCCGATTACTTGACCAAGAAACTCGGAAAACAGAAGTTCGAGTACTGCATGCTGCTGACAGGACAAGGCCACGTCACCATTAGCGACACTCCAGAAGCGAAGGGGAGTGTTGGGAACAATAAGTCTTAAAGCGCCTCTGTCGTGTCGAAACTCAGGACACAAGCGAAGCAGTCCAAATCGAAGCATCGCGAGTCAACCCTCGGAGGTTAGGGTAACCGCCTGGAGGTTACGCGAAGGTCAAAAGTCAGTGACCTTTGACTTGACAAATACAGCGCGACAGCAATGACACACAACTGACTCGACATTGAGCAGTTGCCCGAGTCGCACCGTATCGAATCGCAACAGCAAAACAGTTTAATTATATCTTTTCGTATTCCTTCTACTCTTATATAAAGCCTTGTATTTGCTTGTTTTTAATCAACTTACTTTGCCCTCACATACTAGCGCAAGATGGTTCAAGGACTTTTCATTCAAACGCTTCCGCTATTACAATCCTACTCAGACTCTAACTCTACAAAGTTCCTAGGGCATCTCAGCCCAACAAAAGTGTCAAATCGACAGGGACATGTTTCGTCCCCTTGGTTATTTGCGCTGGGGGCTTGGGTTCCGCCCTGCAGCGTGCGCGTTCCCCCAAACTACCCTGAACGAAACTGGTTGGCATCGCTTTTCTTGTTCCTCATCTCACACCCGCTTTACAAACCCTCTTCACTTCGCCCGCAAATCAGCACTTCTCATTGGGTGTACACTAACAATACCCCCCAAAACCACCCCTAGGAATGTGTACCCTTGCCTTAATACGGTAGTACAACTACGTACAATACAGGTACCCTCCATAGCACAGTAATTGGCACCTTGATGACTTTGTATGTAGGCTACTGCAACCCTACCCCTTTATTCAGGGCAGCAAATAAAAGAATGTCGAAACTTCCAATCCGCCACCTGGCAGCTTCTACTGCAGTACTTGGCTCGGCCGCACCTGACACAGGTCCGGTACTCCCCGACCCTCGTCTCGGGTCGGCCACAGGCTGGGCTACCGCAGCAACGGCGGCCTGCAGGGAGCGGTCGGATGGCATGCCAAGTGGCGAGAAAAGAGTGGATGCGATGGGGCGGCAAAGGGCGGGGAAACGCGAGCTGGAGAGAGAGGGGGCAGTGAGTGTGGTTGTGCGTGTAAGTGAGGAGGGAGGAGAGCAAAATCTGGGTGAGGTGGGCGCTACTGGCATTGAGGGACGCCCTCTCATTGTGAGGCTGAGAGCCTTGTTGGGGGCGGTGGTGATGGTGATGATGGTGATGATGGTGAGAAAGGGTCAGATCTGTATGGTCTTGGGATAGGCCTTCCTGTGCGCCTCCCTGCTTCCCATCCTCCACTGGACCCTCACGTTCCTCCTCTTCCGCACTCTCCTCCTCCTCCCCTTCCTCCTCATCCTCTCCATCCTCCTCCTCTTCATCCTCCTCTATACTCCATCCAGCGGGCCTCTCCCCTCCAAACAGCTCATAAAGAGTATCCCTGGGAGGAGCAACCAGCAGGTTCAAGCAAGGCTGGTTCAAGTCCCTCCCAGCAGACGCGGTGCCTTCTCGACCATCTTCTGCAGGCTCTACTGCTTGGTTCAAATCCAGGTGCAGATTTCCGTGTCTCGATTGCTGCTGCTCCTGCTGGGGTGGCGACCGCGGCTCATCCTGCTGCTCCGTGCTCTTTTCAGTTGTCTCCCGCTGTTGCAGTCGTCTCACAACTCTATCCAATCCACCCCCTCTCTGCAGCATCTCAGCCCCTTCCTCCTCCATCCCAACACTTAGGTAAGCATTCCAGCGAGCAGCTGGTTGAGCTGCAGCGCTCATAGGAGCCCCACTTTGCCGGGGCACAACTTTGGTGTGCTTAAGCTTACCCCCACTGGGAGGCCACGAAAAAGACCGCCCGAATCTTCTGCTGCGCCATGCCTGCAAAGCTTTCTTGCCGGACTCTTGAGCATCCGCTGCTGCTGGTGCTGCTGCTTCTTGTGCTTCAGTCGTTCCTGCTGCCTGTATCCCGGCTGCTATCGTTTGTGCTACAGTTGGTACTGTAGCTTGCGCTACAGCCGGTGCTGCTGGGGCGGCAGGTGCTGTAGCTGATGGGGTCGATGAGGCGGCAGGTGAGTGAGGTGGAGCGTGAGTGGCACATGGAAAGGAGAAAGGGCTAGGAAAAGGAGAGGAGGGCGAGTGCGGGCAGTTTCCGCAACGACAGGTGCTTGTGGTGCCTTCCATAGCTGCTGATGCATGCTGCAGCAGAAGCTTGCCCAGAGAAATGCGCTGGGAAACTCCATAGCCGTCCTGGAATGGAAAATAAGAAATAAGGAAAACATAACATAGTGGGGATACAATTAGGACTTCAATAAATTGGATGATTTCTGTGTTAAAATTACCCGGAACTGTACATGCGTGAAACGAGCCGAGGAAGAAGTAAGGGGAGCAACTTCATTCGCGTACCACGAAACAGTGTCCGAGTTCTTGTAACGCGGGCATGAATCCCAACTTCGCCGCCCGCCAGCACAGATCCACACCCGCCTGTGGATTTGTGTCCCGCGCGGTTCCGCCACTCCCGTGAAAGTTGATTATAGCGAGGGAATAGGTCGCAGGGCCGTGACCGCACTCCGCCGCTTGTGCGAGCAAGCGCGCGCCCGCCCAGTGATTTCCGATACAGTAAAACGAGATCTGCAATTGAGATTTCACGAGGGCCAGGGCCAACGGGGAGCGCGTAAAGGGAGGGCAAAATTAGGACGCGACTAGAATTTAACTCTGAAATCCAAATTTTAAATATATACGCCTAGCGTGGGCTTCGGCATTCCACGCTTGGTCGGGCCTATCCAATAGGAGTTCTTGCCGTCACGCAATTCCCGCACGCACCATGCCCGCGATATAGATTGCCTCGATGTTGCCCTCTGTCGCGGCGCTCAGCAGGAATCGCTGGACTGCGGGAGTCCAGTGCGCCGCGTCCGTCGGCAGGAGTGCCTCGACTGATGCGGACGCCAGCAGCGACCAGTGCGACGCAGGCCGACAGATGTCGTAGAAGCGACGGCATCTGTAACGACAATCAGGACGAGAAGGCCCAGGAGCAGTTTTAGGAAATAAAAAGCTAAGAAATATACAGAAAAAAGTACAGCGCAGAGCACGCGTAGGGTCGGAACGCGTCGCGATGCCCCGAATAAAGGGCGGAAGGAATAACGTAGACTAAACCAAGCACTCACGTTAGCAGCAGGCTGGCGATGTCGGAAAGCGATTGCGCCTTCTTGAAGACGTCGCGCAAGATGGTCGCGACGAGCTCGTCCTGCGGGCGCACGGGGGAAGGGAGGAGCAAGGGCAGGGAGGAGAGGGGAAAGGAGGAAGGAGGGGGAATTGTCAGTGAGAGGTCGGGACGAGCTCGTTCTACAGGGATGGATACAGCAAGGGATTGCGACGAGCTCAGGCGGACACGGGGGATAAGGAGGAGAGTTGGGAGGAAAGGATGGGAACGGGGATGGGAAAATATCGACAGGTGGACGCAGGGATGGGGAGCGGGAAGGTGAGGGGGACGCGGGAGGGAGGGAGGGGTGAGGCGTCGGTCGGAAGAGGAATGAGGGTAAAGCGAACGGAAAGGGAAAGCGTGAAGGGAATGGATATAAATTGCGCGCAAGAAGACGACGCTGGGAGATTGGGGGTAAGGGAGGAGGGAGGAGAAAAGGACTACTCGGAAAGGGAAAGCGGGCGAAGCGCGGGGTCGCAGCGCGGGGACGTGGCGTGGGGAAACCTACGGGAAGACGATCGATGTGGCAAGAGACGGAAGGAAGCGGCGACGCGTCCGCGCCTCCCTTGCCCCGACGTGCAGTCGCGCAGTCGTCAATCTCAGGCGCAGCGCGTTGCCCTCCGCTTGCGGCGTCCGCATGGCGCAAGCTCGGGACAGCAACACAACTGCGGCGCGAGGGCTCTGCTGCCGCGGCGCTGTTTGCGTAGGACGTCCTTAATCGCTTGTTCGGCCAGCCCATGGGATCGAGCGCATTCAGGAACGGATGTTGCTGGACCTGGTGGTACGACGGAACGAGCGGCGACATTTGCGCTTCGAGACGAGTCGCGTCAAGCTCTAAGAGGCTCCGACGGCGAATGGGCCAGGAAATCGTCGAGGAGAAGAGGCTAGGCTTCGCGCGGCGCGCTAGTTTCTCCTGCGCGTTAGTTGTCCGAAAAAGCTTCGTCAAGGTTCCAACCACGAGTGAGTAGACTCAAAATATGAATATATAACTACCCTAGCGTGGAAGATGACGCGGCTGCGGGGGCATGAGGCACGGTGAGGTGGCGTAAGTTGGTTTATGCCCACGTGTACGTTCGCCTTTAGATCGCAGTTATGCACGGCTGCTGCCAAGCTGTCGGCGAAGGACTGAGAATGCTGCTGGAAACGGTTCCTTGGGATGCAATCCCCTCAGTCAACCCAACCTCCGAAGGGAGTTTTTCTTTTTGCTGCTGCAAGGCTGTCTGTGGATGGGAGTTTTTCTTCCGTATGTGTGGCCGATTTTTTTCCTTGAAAGTGCTGCTGTTGGACGAGACGAGACCAACTGACTCGTTTGCTGCCAACAGAAGGGAGACGAGTTGCTTTGCGCGTATGGAATGAACAGCGGTCGGGTCGATCCGCTCTCCCAGTTATTGCTTCCCCCGCGTCCCTTGATTTGCTTGGAATGCAAGCTGTCGCGGCGCTTTTCATCCGCCTTTTTATCCGCCCACATTTCAAATTCAACAGCTGTGCTGGTTGTGTGCGCGGGGGTGGGGGAGATAAATGGGGTGAATGGGAGGGGGGCGGGGAGGGGAGCGGAGAGATCAAAGTTTGGTGTTGGGGGAGGGGGAGTGTTGACACTCAAGGCAGCCCCTGAGGTGATTTGCCTTCGTTCGTCCAGCGTGTCACTCTGTCAAGTGGCTTTCATTGGCGGGATCAGCGGTTCGACAGCCACGGGAAGCCGTAACGAAGGAAATTTCGCCAGGGCAGAGCTTGAAAGCAAACTTGACCAGATTCACCCAGGAAAATCCAGCAACACGCAGGATGCACAAGCAGGATTGAGGAAAGCAGGCAAGCGAGCTGTCAAACCACGAAATGCAAAAACTTCTACACCATTTTTGCGCCGGCAGAGCATCTTTTGGCAGATTTTCCACAGATTGTAGAGCGTGGTGACGTGGTGACTTGGTGACGTGTTGACGTTGTAGAGCATCATCACGTTCTGCACACTGCTGTGCAAGCACAATGCGAAAAATACGGTTAGGTAAGGTGATGAACTTTACAAAAAGCTTTGCCAGCGTATTTATTGGGTTAAGATGGGTATACAGCGATTACGGAATTTTTACGCCCTTGAGCCAGTTTGTGACGTGGTTCGGTTTTTCCCCCCAGGTTGCTAGGAACGTTTAAAGGCACCAGATCGCAAAACAGAAACTGCAGCGACGATTCGGGAAAGGTGAGAAGGCTGAGTAATAAGGTGTATTTGTAACTGCTTGCCCACGCCTGCAATCAGCGCCCCTCCCCGATTCGTACAACAGGCATGACAAGCTGGCACCGACAGGTAGTGAACGGAGGAAATCCACTTGTACACTGCTAGAGTTTGTTTTTTAGAACGGAAAGCAGGGTTGGTGGAAATTGACGTGCGAAGGCGACCAAATTTCAGACATTCCTCCGAAGATCCACAAGAGCAGCAGGCGGCCGAACAAATGGGAACAATCATGACAGGCAACAGGCAAGTACGAGGAAAACCCTAAGCCTCTCCTGGCTCCCCAAGTCAAAAAATGACGCGTAGAGGTGTTGTTGTGAAACATTTGTATTTGTCTTCAATTCAGCTTCATCTTATGACTGAAGCGTTTATTTTGGGGGGTGAATACGGTACATTTCTGGAAATCTCGCGCGGTGGCGGTTAAAATACCGCAGACTAGGTGTAACGTCGAACAAACATTTCTGGAAATCTGGTAGCACAGGATCATCCGAACATCATTTAATGCTGTACAAACAAAAGAAAATAAAAAACGTCAGGAAAAGATCATCTAATGATGCAAGCTCACCAGGAACAGCACTTTGCATCCCCGCCGCATCAGCTTCTTTTGTGATGCCCGTTCAGGATGACGAAAACATAAACAAATGAGAACGCTATGTCCGTCGTGCACCCATCTGCGTCACACTCCCTACGTTTACATAAACGTCGAAACCTAGGAAACCTTTGGAAACGAAACCTCGCCAGAAGTACGACTGTGGGACCTTGCGTTTGTTCCTCTGGACAGCTGTTTGCCAGCTGTCAGCCACATCTAGCCACTTGGCAATTACTGCTAGTTACTTCCACTGTACAGTTTGCACCTGGCTGCACCCATTCATCACAAGAACAGTACAGTTAATGCTTGTTTGGCGCACCCTACTTCGCCTTGTGCTCTAGGCTTATAAGCGGTTTAGGCATTTCGTATTGTTTGTAAAGGTTCGCCACAGACTTGACGTGCTCCTAAAAAACACAGGCTGTTACATGTTGTTTTTTTCCAAACAGTATGGTGGTCTGACTTGCGTGTTTTGGGAACAGCACTACGGTCTACAGTGTACACCCTCATTCTCGATAGACTGACATATGTTATAATTATCGCGACGCTTAGTGTAGCCGCATTGGACCAAAGGTGGTCCTATCACATGCGTTACAGTGACAATTTTACCCAAGGCGTTTAGTCAAGTTTGAATACATTTTAGAATGGTACTGTCGTATGTTAACCGGTTAAGACAGTCATTCAGCGGAAACGGTTTAGGGTGGACCGAGGCTTGTTTCGTCACGTCGTGCGACTTTGCCCGCACCGAGTTATCGCACCAGCCCGCTACGTCCAAACACTGTAGCCAGTGCTTCCGCCGGTGAGAAGGGTGAGAATGAGGGTGGATTTGTGAAGCAGACACTTTAGATAGGTTGCTTATTTGGCCCTTTCTGTCCAACAAATTAATTCTAATAAATAGATACAGTACATTTCCGTTCTGTTAGAGGCTACAAACACAGAATATGATAGAAGGTGAACACAAAGCAATAAAACACACATAAGATGCAACCTAAACACACAGGTGAGTGAGCACAAGTATTTGGGAATGTAACAGTGTCCAGGACTCCTCTTCTCAAATGGTACTTAGTGAGCATCACTGCCTTCGCCTCTCTAATCTGAGGCTTTCATTTTTTGTCATCCCCTCTCCTCCATCCCCTTAGTTTCCTTCCTCCACATTTCCTGTCCCTCTCCTTTCTTTCACACACCTCCTTTCCCCTCTGCTTGGCAACCACCCCTTCTCTCACATGGTACATCACACAACACACCACAGCAGCTCCCCATGTACTCGTGATGACAGCACCCGTCGAGCTGTTGAATTGACATTCCCTATCTCCACGAAACAGAGTATAAGTGTGACATGGCAGGACAGGGTGGTATATAGCAGAGTGTTAGGTAGAGGGCTAGTCTGTAGCAGGACGGCCTGTAGAAGCTCGGATTGTAGTGGGGTGGTCCGTAGCAGTGTGTGTGTAGCAGCGCGGTATGCAAAGGGAAGGTCCGGCGCAGGGAGTGTGAAACAGGAGCAGGAGGACAGTATGTAGCATCCATCTGTAGCAGCGCATCCGCCTCACATCCAAGAAGCTCCATATCATGTCAAATAATATGTGATGCAGCAGAGCGACACCGAATAATCGAGTTAGGCTCAGGGTAGTCATGCATTTGTAAACAGTATTTTCCGAGGAGACGGAAAGACTTGACCTTCATTGTCAAGCGCCAAAGCCAGGGTAAACTTCAGCTGGAAAATATCATCTGCCCCTCCCGCTGCTCTCTCCTCGCCTTCGTCCTCGTCTGCCAACATAACCACGTCGACCTCCTCTTTAAATTTCACTCTCCTGCCCGCGGTATTCGATCTCACAAGGGTAACTTCCCCGTTTTCCTTATCCTTATTTCTGTTTACAGTTTCCGATTTGCTCCTCCGCCATAGGGTAGGAGGCTCCTCCTCTTCCTCCTCCTCTTCGATGATTTGCTGACTGTGCGAACTGCTTCCCGAGTCATTTCGTTTATGGCTCCCCATGCTTTCCAGCGATTCGCTAGAGGAACTCGGCTTCAAAATTCCGTGTCTGTTCGGCTCCGCAGTCAGCCTTAAAGGGGATAAACCTGGCGGTTTCCTGCACGGGCTGGGGCTATTCGTGCTAACTCCCGCTTTAGGCAGACCTTTTGGTTTCGACGAACCGTAATGCTCGAAACTCTCGCACCGCCTGTGCTGCACCGGCGGTTTGCCATGCCCCGAAACCGCGCCGCCCAATCCGCTGCTCTTCCCGCTCCCAGGCTCCAATTGGCCGGGATCCAATGACGTGGCGCGCCGCAACCTGTCCCCGAAGGCTTCCCTCGACTCGCCCGATTCCGCGTGGCTCCAAACGTGTCCACTGGACGGAATCTGTTGCCTAAAAAGATTCGATTCTGGGCTGCTACCCGAAGATCTGAAGCTACCCATGCCGCTGCCCACCCCCGCGCCAACGCCGCTTCCCCCGCCGCCGCCGCCGCCGCCGCTGCCGCCGCCGCTGCTGCTGCTGCCATTGCTGTTGCTGTTACTGCAATGGCTGGTGGAAGCCTTGGGTATGGGGCATTTATCGGACGAATTGCCGCCGAGTCGCGACGGCATGAGCCGACCGCTTTTAGTCCGGAAGATTCCTCGCAGCTTCCCGCCCCACTTGCCGTTGGCTGGCTTTTCCTCCACCAGAGCGCCGGAGACCGCTTCCGCTGCCGCTTTTTGCGCCGCATTCTCCGCTTGCTGCTGCTGCTGCAAATGCGCCGGCTGGGAAACGGGAATCGCGGAGGACGGCGCGCAGTCGCCCATGTATTTGCGCTTCCAGATGCTTTCGAGGAAGCTTCCGTTGAGGACCGCGGCCGGCGGCGCCCAGGGCTCTGCGGGGACGTTCTGATCGACGAAGAGTTGCCACGTGGCGTTCGCTCGCGCCACGACCGCGTGCGCGCGCTCCGGACCCAACGGCTCGCTGACGAAGGGAAGATCTGCGGTTCGAGAAGAACGGGTGAGGTGGAAAGGGGCAGAGGCGGGAATGGAGAGGGTGGGGGAAAGTGGGGGGAGAAGATGGAGAGAGCGGGAAGAAAGGAAGGGTGGATGGAGAAGACAAAGGAAGGAGGAAGAAAACTGAAGATGAGTAGAAGACGAAGGAAGGAGGAAGAAAACTGAAGATGAGTAGAAGACAAAGGAAGGAGGAAGAAAACTGAAGATGAGTAGAAGACGAAGGAAGGAGGAAGAAAACTGAAGACGAGTAGAAGACGAAGGAAGGAGGAAGAAAACTGAAGATGAGTAGAAGACGAAGGAAGGGGGCACGAGTAGATGAAGCGGGAAAGCGGGGATGTGGAAAAGCACGGAGGGGGGATGGGGGAGCGGGGATGGGGCGGGGGGGGGAGGAAGAGAGGAGAAGTGGGGGAAGAGTTGGAGAGAGCGGGGCAATGCAGTTGCCAGAACACCGCAAGAGCAACCGGATAGGAGGAAGTTGAGGTGGGGAAGGGGTTGGGAAAAAGCGGAGGAGAAGAGGATATGACGGTAACGCCGTGACGAAAGCTACCGGCCTCACCTGCTGCATGCCGGCCGTTCGACTGGAAAACGTCGCGCGTGCGAAGCCATTCGCGAATGTCGCTAAGCGACCCTGGAAACGACGCCTCGACGTCTTCCATCGACTCCAGCACGCTGGCGACGGGGCAGTTACCCGAAATTGCAACAACCTTCCATGCGAAACTCTTTCCCGTCGGAGACGCGACGGCGAAAGCTGCGAGAGGCTTGACCGAAACTACTTCGCCGAGACCGATTTCGCTACCGCTAATCTCGATAACCTCTATCGGCCGCTCGTCGCCAGGCACATTTGGTAACTCGTCGCAAGTATCGTCGGGATCCTGTCGCGTTTGGGGCAGCAGCCCGAGACTCCATGGGCAGTTTGTAGAAAAATGTTTCGGAACAGCCGCAGAGACTATCGCACCCTCGCCAGCGCCTCCTGAGGACCCTCCTAAAGCGTCGAAGATTCCTGAAGTCGCGGAATCCAGGGACGTTGCGCATCTTAATGGGTTGTAATCTTCGGGAGCGAAATCGTGCGGAAGCCATGTCCCGGCGGGAGCGGCCGAGATGCAATGGAAGAGACAATCAGGGTCGTAAAGCGGGATATCGTGGCAAGGGGAGAGAATATGGCGGTGGGTCGAGTGGAGAAAAATCATACGAAAGGAGGACGAGCCGGGCGTGCCGAATTGTAAGGTTTCCCATTGTTTATCACGTGACGTCATTTTTATGAGGCGGACCGATGGGGTATGTGATCACAAGTTAGACTAAGACTCGAGAGACCGTGGCTTTTGTCTACCAAGAGTCAGTTCAAAAATAGCAAGTGATAGAAGACAGACGTGAGTTGAGAAAATAAGCTGGCGGAACTAACTGCTCTAAACAGGTGGTGTAGTGATCTAACGCTCCATCGAATTCTTGATGGAAGGGGGAGCTTTCGAGAATTATTACGGCGGTTCGATACGTTTCTTCGCGTGGCAGGACGGTTTATTTGGAATCTATAACTTTTTGGTGGAGTTCGGGTCGGACATACCCAACATGCCACTGCAATTCCTTGTTCCAGTGAGGCGAACATACAGCTGTCTTGTGGAAGATGTGGGGCGCGGAGAGGTAGGGGGAACGAGGGAAGAAAGTACAATGCGCAAAACGACAGTTTTGCTGGCAGGGGCCAGCTTGAGGTCAAAGTTCTGCAACTTTCGTAATACACGAGCGAGCTTATCTGCGACAAGAAGAAAGAGTATCGTAGGGCTGTGACGACGAAACAAGGTAACCAGCAGCTGTACGACGGAGGTGGTAGGTAAACAGCACACTTCCACTTCCACTTTCCCAAGAGGAGGCCACAGTGGTAATTTTCGGCTCATGATTCATGAATGGTGGTGGTTTTTCTCACGCCTAAAATTTATGACGTGGCATGCGGATCCACACCACACTGCGCCACCGATGATGCCCAACTTCCTCCCCCAACAACAGTGCGAACGAAATTCTGGGACCAGATTTTCAAGGCTGGAATGAAACGGATGTCTCGTCGTTGCTCATAAACCCAAAATTAATGCAAACAGAACGACAAATTTCGCGTGGCCATTCGCGTCAGCCAATAAGCTGTCAAAAACAGCTGGCAAATGAGCAGCTGGAGGCGGATGTACCGTACCGGCTATTCCCGCAAAAGTACGACTTCGCGGGAGGAATGATCTAATCAAAACAGGTGTGGTCTGCGCATGCTCGTTATAAGTACTTGGCTACCTAGATATCGGTAACTCACAATAGCACATCCTTTCAACTAGCTCTGAGAACATTTGTGTCTTAGCAAGTATTTGCTAGGGTGAAAGAAAGCCATGAGCTTTGTAAATGTGCAAGTGTGTCTGTTAAGGCACATAGGGGCCCTTAGATACGCATTCTTCCAAATACGCATCATTACAACACCATCAAACGGTAACAGAGACTTCATCACAAGGGACACGAATGGCAACGTAACAAAGAACCATTACAAGAAAGAGGGGGAACACAAACGATGGGGAAGAATAATAAGGTGGGGATGATAGACCCGTCAGTCACGAATGTGAGGGAAGGCATGAAATGAATGACAGGGGAGGAAGTGGGGCAGGGGGGGAGGGACAAGTCATGAGAGGAAATGAGAGGAAGAGTGAGAAAGGTATTACAAAGAGCAGCAAGGGAGAGGAGAAGCCTGACAAGGAATATAGGAATCGGAAAGGAACGAGGCCGGGGGAGAAGGGGAGAAGGTAAGCGCCTGGGAGGTTAGGAGAAGATGGAAATTCGGCAATAACAGGGACAAGAGAACGGAAGGATATTTAGAAAGAGAGCGGATGGGTGGAGGGGGGAGCGGAGGGGGAGGCAGAAGTTTATAGCGGGGAGGAGGAAGGGGGAGAGAGGGGGGGAGAGAAAGGAGGAGATTGGGGCAGGGAATGGACCTGGAAGTGAAGGACAACGCCATTATTCATTTCACACATCCCTTAATAGAACGGCTATACGGGATCCGCTGGTGATACTAACTGTGCAAGGAATGTATACGAGGCAACGCTGATAACGTGACTGTAGCAAAATTATTATTATTGTTCTTCAACCTAGTATAATCCAACATATACCGCTAACGGGCATGTCACGAAACTGTAACCCTACCTTTTTACTCGTACGGGATCTGCATGTACGCCGCATCTGAGATAAACGGCACGTCAGCATACGTCCCGCGAATCGCGCACCAGATGCACTCGAGCACGATAAAGATAAACGCGACCGCAATAGCGAGCCAAAAGTGCGCGCCGATCTTCCCCCAGTAAATCGACTTGGGAATCCAATCATTCAGCGTCCCAACAACCTGGAGAATAATCTCCAGAAGCATCCCCGTGACCACGTGGAACCGCAGGAAATGCGGCCAGCGATTGTTCCTGACAACCCCAAGGTACGCTCCGAAGAAGTACGCAAGCATGAACCAGGAAGGGAGCAGACCCAGCAGCATCAGGAACGGCTGGCACAGCTGCTCGTATGTGAAGAGGAAATGGAAGAGCGATTGAGCCGTTTCGCTGTAGATCCACGCCTCGCAGAGCGGCAGCAGGTACGGAACGACGGCTGCGATTCGCCAGTACCACGCGGGCCGCGTCTGCATCGGCGGAAAGCCCTTGAACGCGGGGACGTCGCTGTCGCCATCCGCGGCTCTCACGGGGGAGACGCGCCGGCGGGGCGCGGATGGGGAGACGGCGGAAGGGGAGGCCTTGCGCAAGCGGAGGGAGTCCTGCTGGCCTAGGAAAGCGGAGGGATGCGCCGAGGGAGGAGCGGCGGAAGCTCGGAACGCGGGGTTGCGGGGGAAACTGGCCGTTGGTGTGACTGCCTGGCGCTGCGCTCTGCGTTGACACGTGGCCGAGAAGCTGATCTGCTGCGCTCCTGCCTGAGCGGATAGAACACTGCGGATAGTAGCCATGGCGGAATGCGTGTGAACACTAATGAGGTCTAGGCAGGCTATTCTGGAGATTAAAAGCACTCGCCTAGATGAAAACTCACGCGCGACTGAAGCCGTACGCGAATACCGCGCGGAACGAGAGACTCGTCAAACGCCTTTCTCCACGAGTCGGACTCTCCGAAGACTGAATGTCAGTTACCAGGTTCTAAACCCCTCACGCTAATTTAGGAATCGAACCAATTTCTGAAGCAAACACAGGAACACTTTGCAAGAGTAGCAAACGGTTGAGAACGGTGATTGCTCATGACAGAACAAAGCCCTAAGGGCTGACGAGGACACAAATGTGATACTATCGAGGAAATTGACGAGTGTTCGAAATTGGCGAGGGTTGCTGCGGATTGGGCGCACGCTATCCAAAAGGGCGGAAAGCCTGTCCACGTGGCGTGGAGAAAAATGTCGCAGGTGATGATGTGAGGGAAAATATGCCGTTCGTAACCATCATGGGACTCAAAAACAGTTTTGGTAATACAATAAAGGGTACGGTCACTGCAAAGGGTATTTTCACGCGACTGATAACGCGTTTCACGGAATCAGTCACAATCAGCTGGTAAAAAAAAACGCGAATGGTCACAGATGAAACTCCCGCCAAAACAAAATGAAACCTAAAAAGAACCTGGATGCATTTTCGGATGATCAACCCTAAACACGTAACTCGCCAGGTGTTTAGGGTTGATCCGTCCCAAACCGCATCCGATGCCGATCGGGTTTTAGTTTTTTTACAAGTTCGCAGATTGGTTGGGCGCGAGCGGGAATCTTGTTGAGTTTCAAGTTTTTTTGGCGGGAGTTACATATGTGACCATTCGAGTGATTTTTTACCTGTTGATAGTGACTGAATCCATGACCCCGCTTACCAAGCCCGTCAGAAAACCCGATACAGTGACCGTGCGTGTTTTTCTTTTTACCACTCACGTTATCGAGTCCCAAGTTGGTTACTTGTGGCATATTTTCCCATGATGTGGAGGTGACAAAGGACGAAGCGCTACACCAAATTGGACGAAGTGTAACGTTTCTACACTGGAACCCAATCTACACCACACGCCTACCAAAGCTGTTGTGGGGATCATGATTTATTAGATTCCTAAAAGAAAATACCGAGCTAATTCAAAAGGAAATTACCACGACACATAGCAGATGCAACACATCTGCCAAACAGGGAATCATTGTCCTGATGTGAAACTTATGCTCGCCGGCGTACATGAGGCTTCCGGACCTCATTCTTCCCACGGGAATCTGCGCCGGAGGCCCCCCACCCACCAGCAGCGCCTGGTGCTGCTGAGCTGTCGCCAGCTGCTGAGCCAGGTGTCGTACCCCCAGTGGCTGCCACTCCTGCAGCCAATTGCTGCAGCCTGAAACAGTTCAGCACACGTAAGAGAATGCACCCCGATAAGGACCAAAACTTACTTGAGCAGGGCTTTGAAGGTGCCAAAGAAAAACTGCAATCGCAAGCAGCTGGTTTCCAGGTGAACCAGAGGCATGTTTCTGAACAAGAACCATATGGCTGATAGAAAGGCAGACCACTGTCAAACCGCTGTCGAAGTCTATTGATGGTGCCTTGTAGCAACTTACTTGGGCAGAGATGCAACAACCGAGATGACTGCAATTGCAAGCAGCACTGGGAGAAGGGGGGTTGGTGCAAGGTCCTGGTGGGACATTGGGAAACAGGGAGATCAAACAGGGGGACGAGATTGGTACGACTCAAAGAGAAGACTCAAGAAATGACAGCGATTGCAAGCAGCACCGGGAGAAGCGGGGTTGGTGCAAGGTCCTGGTGGGCAGCAGGGATGCGGGAAGAGTGGTACGGTTTTGAACGGTTTTGATATGACTGAAACAAACCTTCTAAAAGATGCAACAAGGACACACGATTCAAGTGCTATGGCAATCAACAAGATGGAGATAGGGAGAGGATTCAGGAACAGGACTATTCTGGGAAGTGAGTGTCAGCTGAATGATTCCCGCAAGAAACTAGTGAGTGTGGAGGGTAAATCAGGAGATTGGAATTGGGGTAGCAAACAAATAAATAAATTAAATTCGCAGCTGTAATTGGGAGCAAAGGCTCACCTCATTTGATCTACGCTCCTCGGCCCGGAAACGCAGCGTCCCCGCATGAGCTGTTACCGCCTCCCTCACATCCACCTCCCTGCCCTCGCTCTCAAACACGTGAGATTTTCCGGGCAGCCCGAGACGCAGTTTCACGAGGTACATGCCCCTGGGCAGGTCGCGAAACTCGAAGAATCGCGAGAGCGGGATGGGGATGGAGCGAATGGGAGTGGAAGAGAAGACGAGGAGAGTGGAAGCTTCCTCGAAGCTTCCATCTGCTCCTGCTGCCGCGCCATTGGTGCTGCTGCTGCTGCTGCTCGTACCAGTCCCCTCGTTATTGTCACTTGCGGGTACAGTCACGCTCGGGAAGAGATCGACAAAGAGGTTCGGCAACCACTTGGCTGTGTCTCTGCCGCTCACTGCCCCCGTTATAGTCACACCCGGGGGCGAGTTGAAGACCACAAAGTTGACGTTCGGGACATCGCCTGTGATTGTCTGGAGTTGTGAGTGTAGGGAAGGGGAGTGAGACGGGCGGGGAGGATGGAAATCAGGAAAGTTTTTTGCGGCTATGTCTCTGCCACTCACTGCCCCCGTTATAGTCACACTTGGGGGCGAGTTGAAGGCCACGAAGTTGACGTTCGGGATAGAAGAGAGGCACGTACCAGCAGAGCCTGGCTCGGTGATGCACGCTCGAATCGGCCTTAGCAGCACCAGCCCTCACTGCCACCTCCACCAGATAAGCCCCACCTGGTGACAGGGACACAGCCCCCTGAGCCCGCACAATGCACTCGAGGAGTGTGGGGGAGTGCGAGGAACGTACCAGCAGGGCCTGGTTCGGTGATGCGCAGGCGTCCTTAGCTGCACGGGCCCTCACTGCCACCTACATCCCATACGCCTCTCCCGGCCACAGCCCCCTCAGCATGACCGCTATAAGAGATTAGGAGTCAGAAGAATGGAAGCGAGGGACGTACCAGCAGAGCCTGGTTCGGTGATGCACGCTCGAATCGAGGGAGCGTGGTGGAGTCCTTAGCAGCACCTGCCCTCACTGCCACCACCACCAGATAAGCCCCTCCCGGCCGCAACCCCCTGAGGCTGAACGCTATACGGGAATATGTACCAGAAGAATAGAAGAGAGGGACGTACCAGCAGAGCCTGGTTCGGTGATGCACGCTCGAATCGAGGGAGCGTGGTGGAGTCCTTAGCAGCACCTGCCCTCACTGCCACCTCCACCACCACATAAGCCCCCCCGGCCGCAACCCCCTGAGGCTGAACGCTATACGGGAATATGTACCAGAGGAATAGAAGAGAGGGACGTACCAGCAGAGCCTGGTTCGGTGATGCAAGCTCGAATCGAGGGAGCGTGGTGGAGTCCTTAGCAGCACCAGCCCTCACTGCCACCTCCACCACATAAGCCCCTCCCGGCCGCAACCCCCTGAGGCTGAACGCTATACGGGAATATGTACCAGAAGAATAGAAGAGAGGGACGTACCAGCAGAGCCTCGTTCGGTGATGCACGCTCGAATCGAGGGAGCGAGGTGGAGTCCTTAGCAGATCCTGCCCTCACTGCCACCTCCACCAGATAAGACCCACCCGGCCGCAGCCCTCTCAGCCTGTACTCCCCATCCTCGTTTGTGACAGCCATCTCGTAGTGAGATGACTGTGATCCGCCTCCCCCAGATACCACCTCCCTCGCCTCCACCTGCACGCCTGCCTGTGGCGCTCCTGACAAAGAATGCACCGAACCCAGCACACTGAGCGAAAAATAGGGGGGAGGGGGTATGGGGAGGAGAGAGGAGAAAGGGCTCTTAGACAAAACATGAACTGATTCACCTGAAATCCACCTGAATGAACCCACATAAAAGACACCTGACATTTCAACTGAGAGAAACACACCTGACAATACACCTGAAAGTTGAACCTCACCTGAAGGCAACTCTCTTTGCAGTGAACGCCACGTCCACCTCCTGCCCGGACTGCAAATTGATTGGGCGGGCAGCCGGCGAAAACTCATACTCCTTCAGCACCGGCCGCAGGTAGTAGCTGCCCGGAAACAAACCCTCGAATGCGAAAACATTTTGCCCGGGTGATGTCGCCTCATTGCGCCTAAAGCTGGCGTCTCCGGTGAGTGAGAGGAGGACAGATGGCAGCGGCTCATTGGCCGTGGAAATTTCTGCTGACATGGCGATTTTGACGGTGATTGAAGCGAGCTTTTGTGCTTCAAACGAGTTGTCTCCTAGCGCCTTGAAAACGTAGCCAGTCTGGTTGGGAGAACAAGGAGGGTGGTTGGTTGGAAGAGGGGGGAATTTGGTGAGGGGCAGCAGTCATCAGTCTTGGTGGACCAAAAGAAAAAAAGCTGCAGAAGGATGAAGAAATGCTGAAAGGGAACTAAAGCAGCAACAATGACATGTCAGAACTTGAGCTTAGAGTCCATGCTAGTACTGAGCTCAAGGCTCTTTAAGTACATTGGAAATGGGCAAGGTAAGGGTGGAGAGAGAATCAGGGGCAATCCTAGGGGATCGGGGGTAATCCCAAGGCAATCTCCAATTGGTGGGTTGGAGATAGCTTGGAGATCACATTTGGGTTTGGTTGTGATGTGGGTGTACACCCAACCTAACACAAAGTGCACACTACACAAAGCTAGGATGTAAAAAGTACAAGTACAAATGTGAGATTGAGGGCTAACATTGACATGACAAGCAAAAAAAAGAAAGAAGGAAAGAAGAAAAAAAAACACCTTTTGAAGCTCCACATGGTAAGTGGCATCGTCGTTCAAAGGCCCCACCACAAACATCTCCCCTTCCACTGACTCAATACAGGGCAAGCGCCACACCCACAAGTAGTGAAAAGAGCCGCACTCCATGCCTTGAGCCTCACCTTTTGCAGGTGCACGAGGTAAGTGGCATCGTCATTCAAAGGCCTGACCATGAACATCTCTCCTTCCACCTCACGAATTACAAACAGCAGCACAGCACAAGCAGGATGGTTGAAGTACAAAGAGCCTCACCTTTTGCAGCTCCACATGGTAAGTGGCGTCGTCGTTCAACGGCCCCACCACAAACATCTCCCCTTCCACCCCTCCATGCTGCCTCCTCTCCCCACTCCCCTCCGCGCTCCCCTCCGCACTCCCCTCCCCTTCCACCCCCCTCACCCGCCCCACAGTCTCAGCCCACATCACCATCTGCCCCTTCTGCCATCCCGCGTTCGCACTGTCAGCATCAGCGACCACTGACACGTTGACACGTGGCAGAGGGGGGAACACCCAGCCTGTGAGGTAAAGGCCGGGGCGAGCGTCGACGGTAGGCAGGGGAGGGGGACACTGCAGGGGAGCCACTTGCACCTGAAGGGAGGGGAAGGGAAGGGGGGGGAAGGGAAGGGGGGGGAAGGGAAGGGGGGGAAGGGAAGGGGGGGGGAAGGGAAGGGGGGGGGGGATTTGGGTTCCCGGGGGTGGGGTGGACGGGTTGCAAAGGATGAGAACGGGGTAAAGAATATATCGATGTAGAGGAGGGAACAGCCAGCCTGTGAGGTAGAGTGCAGGGTTAATTAGGCTGCAGGCAGAGGAGGGGGGCACTTCAGGGGTGAGTCATCTTCCCCCTGGTGCAGCCTCCCCTGGTGCAGCCTCCCCTGGTGCAGCCTCCCCTGGTGCAGCCTCCCCTGGTGCAGCCTCCCCTGCTACCACCGATGCGCAAACCTCTACCCGTTCAAAGCGGATATGAATAATGAATGCACTGGTCCCATGTAACCAATCGACCCACCCACCCACCCACCCACGCACGCACCTTGAGAGAGCGCGGGTAGAAGAGCAGGCGCCTGGGAGGCGGGAAGACCGGCGAGGCATCTGCCTTTGGCGGGGGCTCCTCTCGCTCCAATGTAGAAATGTGAGCGCTGAAGCGGGGAGGGGTAAAGGAAACGAGGGGGGGATGAGGGGAGAGTGGGAAACGAGAGATGGGTGGGAAGGGCGCTGCTGCTTTGACTGACTGCCTCTAGAGCTGTTCCGCGCATGGCAGCGCCTCGAGCTTGATTCCCATGCAACCATCGAATTCCACACAAGCGTGCTCCTACCCTCCCGAAAGAACAAGCGTTCTACGCAAAGAACATTCACCTACTCCAGTGTCATTTTCAACCCATTGCTGCCACGTATTGCACCATGGCCGCTAAACGGGGCTCGATTGGACTCAAAACTAGAGCTATGAGGCATTGCAGAAATCGGCATCTGCATGTCTCATAGCTCTAGTTTTGAGTCGACTGAAAACTTGACTTATCGCACCTGGCGGTGCCTTGAGCTTTGTTCTCAAAGGCATTGCACTCACCCTCTGGCAATAATTTCTTTCAGTGCCTGCGCCTCTGACTCAAACGTATCCTGCAGCATATTGTTCGCCTTTCAGGAACCCCTCATCCCCCTCCCATAAGGCAACATTAAGGACACTCACCCTCGGGCGATCAATGCTTGCAGTGCCTGGGCCTCTGACTCAAACATAGCCTACAGCATGTTGTTCGCCCTTCAGGAACCCCTCATCCTCCTCCCACAAGGCAACATAAAGGACTCACCCTTGGGCGATGAGTGTTTTTAGCGCCTGCGCCTCTGACTCAAACATATCCTGCAGCATCTTGTTTGCCCACTCAAGGTCATACTCGCCCTCGCCCTCATCCTCCCCTCCCTCTGCCTCACCCTCACTCTCTCCTTCTCCCTCACCCTCGCTCGCACCCTCCCCTCCCTCCTCTTCAACTCTTGTCAAATCCATCCCTCTGCTTCCCAGCCCCTTCTCTCCTTCTTCTTCCCCTCCACCCTCCCCAGACCTCTTTCCTTCCTCCACTTCCTCCCCTCCCTCCTGCTCTCCCTCTTTTGTCCTTTTCCCAGCGAGACGAAGAATGTGAGTCACGTAATTGACGTCTATATCCACTTCGCCGGCCACATATAGTTGGCTATACTCCTCGTCTAAAGAATCGATTTCCTCGTCTGTCAGGCCGTGTGAACGAAGCGTGTCTTTATCTGCTGCTGCCGCCCTGCAAATGTTTTGGCAGGTAGGCGGGCAGACAGATAGAGACAAAGGCTTGTGGATTAATGGGGTGTTTAAGATTCCAGAACCGGTTTTGGTTTTGTGGCAGCGAAGTGTGACTTTATCTGCTGCTGCCGCCATGTATCACTGTTGTTCTCAGTCCAGAGTAGCCATTGTGGAATCACTGTACAATCTGCAGAGGTTTCAGCATGCAGGCAGGCAGACACGGGGTTGCGAAGGTTTTGGCAAGCTTTTGTGTGAGCAAAGAGTGTCTGTGTATGCTGCTGCCAACCTGCACAGGTTTCGGCAGGCAGGCAGGCAGACACGGGGTTTTTAATACTTTTCTAGCTCTTCAAAGATTTGTTGAAGGGCTTTTCTTTTTGTGTGACTGAAGAGTGCCTATGTCTGCTGCTACCGCCCCGCACAAACTGTGGAAGGCAGACAGGCGGACACACACAGGGTATCGTTGAATCTTGAGGTCTCAAGATTTGATTTCGTTGTCTGACTGGCCGTGGGAGCAGAACGTGCTTTGTCTGCTCCTGCTAACCCTCACATTTTAGGGAGTTTTTGAGAATTCTCAAAAACTCCCTGGGAGCAGAACGTGCTTTGTCTGCTCCTGCCAACCCTCACATTTTCTGGCGGGTAGTTAGAAGCGGCCAGAGACCAGGGAGAGGGTCGAGAGGGAAAGCAGGGAGCAGCGAGAGAGGAAGGAGAGAGAGAAGAGGGAAGCAGGGAGGAAGGAGGGAGGAAGTACAGGAGCAAACACCAAGAGAGCCTACCTTTTGAGGGCATCAGCAACATCATCCAGGGTCGATCCATCATCTCCCACCCCTCCATCGTGATACCACCCCAGCAGCAGCTCTCCCCCTCCTGCCACCCAATGCTCTTGCGCATACACCGCCACCGGGTGTGTGGCATTGGGGGCAGAGACGAGGGAGAGAGGCGTGTGGGAGAGCAGGGAGCCGTTGGTGGGGCTGAAGAGGCGGGCAGAGGCGTGGGGGGCGACGGAGGCTGCAGAGGGGAAGAGGGAGGCGTTCACTCGGACTAGCCCTGAGACCCTGTAGGCTGATGGGCGCAGACGAATCACCTGAAACAGGGAGGGGTGTGGGGGAGAAGGAAGAGGAGGGAGGTGTGAGGGAGAGGGGTGAGAAGGAGAGGGTAAGAGAGGCATGGGGGGAAGGGAATGAGGAAAAAGGGAGAGAGGGAGAGCAGGGAGCCGTTGGTGGGGCTGAAGAGGCGGGCAGAGGTGTGGGGGGCGATAGAGGCTGCAGAAGGGAAGAGAGTCGCGTTCACTTGGACTAGTCCGGATACCCTGTAGGCTGACGACCGCAGACGAATCACCTGAGGGGAATTGGTGGGAAGAAGGTGGGTGGGCGGGAAGGGAGGGGGAGGAGGGCGTGAGATATCAAAGAGGGATGCGTTCACTCGCAGCAGTCCGGATACCCTGTAGGCTGAAGGGCGCAGACAGATTTTTGAGTCGACTCAAAAGAGGTGACTTTTGAGTCGACTCAAAAGTCACCTCGCAGCAGTTTGGATACCCTGTAGGCTGACGGGCGCAGGCAGATGAATAAACGCCCTCCTCGCCGTACATGGCGCAAGGGTCAGCGCAGATCAGGCTGTAAATCAGATGGCTCAGACATTTGAGTCGACTCAAAAGCTGACATTTGAGTCGGCTCAAAAGTCGCACGGGTCAGAGCAGGGCAGCCTGTAAATAAGATGCTCAGACATTACATGCCACATTACATGCCACATTACATGCCACATTACATGCCACATTACATGCGCTCAGTCTCTCTCACCTTTACTTCCTGTGTGTGGTAATAAACGCCCTCCTCGCCATACATAGCGCACAAGTCAAGGAAGCGGAGGCTGTAGCTGCCGCTGGCCGCCACACGAGCCAGGGAGTCAGGCCATATATGTTGCATGAGATCATGCTTCTCACCTTCACCTCCTGCGTGTGGTAGTAAACACCCTCCTCGCCGTACATGACGCACGAGTCAGGGAAGCGCAGGCTGTAGCTGCCACTGGCTGCCACACACACGTGCTGCAGCCCCTTCTGCACAACCACAGGGGGAGGGGAAGGAGGGGGTGGAGGGAAAGGATTGTTAACGGCGCATGAGTCAGGGAAGCGGAGGCTGTAGCTGCCACTGGCCGCCACACACACGTGCTGCAGCCCCTTCTGCACGACCACAGGGGGAGGGGAAGGGGGATGTGGGATGGGGGAATGGGGGAAGGATTGTCAACGGCGCACGAGTCAGGGAAGGGAAGCGGAGTCTGTAGCTGCCACTGGCTGACACACACACGTGCTGCAGCCCCTTCTGCAAAGCACAGCCACAGGGGGTGGGGGGGGGGAGAGAGACTGGATGCCTGAAACTTGAAAAACGCCCACCCTGAGACCAACACATGGGCGCGCACTTGATTCACCAGTTTAGCTTACCTTGAGAGCCTGACAGCTGGCAGCGGCGTTTCCCCGTGCACCAGGCTGACTGTATCCTCCATCCCTGCATCAATCGATCTCCACCCTCCACCCACCCCAAAGCGGACTAGCAGCATCTATCGCCACCCACCTCCAACGCATTCAACCGCTTTGCACACCTTGAGCTTGACAGCAGGCAGGGCCGTCTCCCCGTGCACCATGCTGACTGTATCCTCCATCGCTGCGTCAATCTCCACCCTCCATCCACTCTGCTCCAGCGCCACGCCCACCACGGACGAATCGGAGACCGCCACATCAGCGGACTGTGTCTTCCAGCACCACTCGTCGCCCGCCATGTCACTCCCCTGAATCACCTGCTTGGATGCCTGGTGGGGGGAGGGAGGGGAGGGAGGTGGGAAGGGGGGATGAGGGTTTTGGGAAGAGTGGGGTGGGTGGGGTAACAAAGGCCACGCGTCGCCCGCCATGCCACTCCCCTGGATCACCTGCTTGGACGCCTGGTGGTGAAGGGGGAGGGGAGAATGCGTGGGGAGGAGGTTGTGGGGGGAGGAGGGGATGGCAAAGGGGGAACACCAGAGAAGAGGAGACTGGGATGTATTTCGTCGAGGGGAAAGAGGCAACCATTGCCACTCCTCGCCCGCCATTTCACTTCCTTAGATCATCTGCTTGGATGCCTGGTGGGGAGGGTAGGGACGGCGGCACGGGGGTTCGAGGGTGTTGGGAGGGGTGAGATGAAGTACCAAAACCCACTCTTCACCTGCCATGTCGCTTCCTTGGATCATCTGCTTCGATACATGAAAAACGGAACGTGGGAATGCGTGCAGTTAGTTATGAGAGCATAAACACTGCAAAAAAAATAAAATGTACATGTGTACATACACATATGTATATATCCACTCAAGATTTATAGCTTCTACACTCGGTCATCCAATAGACTCACCTCGATTCTGTATTTCCCAGGTACCACTTTCTCAAACAGAAACGACCCATCTTTCTCCTTCAAGAAAACCGATCGAGAAGCAGCGCCGGCAGCAGCAGCGGCAGCAGCAGCAGAATCAGCAGATCCCGTCAATGGTCCGATGCTAGCGAGGGAGACTCGGACGGAGCGATCGCAGCCGTCGATGCAGATCACGCGGCCGGAAACGGAGAGATGCGATTGGTTGAAGGAGACTCCTGTGACAGGCTTGGATGTGACTGTAACGGTGGCGAGGGCAGGGGCGAAGGCCAGCCCTGCTGCTGCCTCAGCCGGTAGGACGTGTGGGGCGAGCTGATAGGTGCCTGGAGGGACCTGGAAGGAGGGAAGGAGAGCAAGGAGTGGAAGGACAAGGGATGTGACTGCAAGACGGTGGCGAAAGGAGGGGCGAAGGCCAGCCCTGCTGCTGCCTTGGCTGGTAGCACGTGTGGGGCGAGCTGGTAGGTGCCTGGGGGGACCTGGAGGGAAGACAGGGGAGCAACAAAGGAATGTAAGGCGGTGGCGAAGGAAAGGGGGGAAGGCGGGTCCTGCTGCTGCCTCCACTGGTACGACGTGTCGGGCGAGCTGATAGGTGCCTGGGGGGGACCTGGAGGGAAGAGAGAAAGGAGGCAGAGAACTGCCTGGGGGGGAGCTGGAGGGAAGAGAGAAAGGAGGCAGAGAACAGAGGACAGTTGAGTGAGTGAGGCAAGACAAAGGACATAAGAGTGATGTGGGCAAGCGAGGGGAAGGGGGCGACGAGGAGGAGAGGCATCCCTGCTGCTGCCTCTCCTGGTTGCACGTTGTAAAAGCCGCGTGAACTGAGGCGATTTTTTAGGCGCCTCAAAAATCGTTTTTGAGACGTCTCAAGAACTCTCTTTTATCACGTGAAGGGGCGAGGAGGAGGAGGTACATCCCTGCTGCTGCCCCTGCTGGTGGCACGTTGGGGGCGAGCAAAAGGGGGCGAGCTGGTAGGTACCTGGGAGAACCTGGAGGGAGGAGAGGGGGTGAGGAAACGAAAAGCTGATACCCAAGACTGAAGATCGAAGTCGTGCAGGGAGCTCACCACTAAACACACCTTCCTCCCATTCACACTCCCATTCACATCGGTTCCCGTTTTTTGTAGAATGCTAAAAACAGATGCAGCCTCAAAAGTGTCTGAACATCACAACCATGCGCCTAAGCTCACCATGAAGCCAAGCACACCCTCCATTCTGCATCCGTCTTCTTGGCTTGTCGTGACACCTCCCTCCTTCCCCCTCCCTCCCTCAGACACCACTACAGAACAACAAGGTTGGTTACAACAGCCATATAGCTGAACTCACCATGAGGCATACTTTCCCATCTGCATCTGTCTTCTTGGCTTGCGGCAACACCTCCTCCCCTCCCCATCCAGTCAGCGCCACCTGCCTGCCGCCCGCTTGGAACGCCGACTGTCAAGAGCCATTGCGACACTCACCATGAAGCACACTTTCCCATCTGAATCCGTCTTCTTGGCTTGTGGTGAGACCCCCTCCCCTCCCCTTCCCTCACAGGAATCAAAATTCCCAGCCATTGAACTCACCATAAAGCACACTCTCCCATCAGCATCCGTCTTCTTCGCCTGAGGCGCCACCTCCTCCCCTCCCCGTCCAGTCAGCGCCACCTGTCTGCCGCCCGCTTGGAACGCCGACCCGTCGTCCAATAGCGTGGCGACACACAGCTCGTAGTGCGAGGCGCGGAGAGGGGGCAGGAGGGAGGCGGAGGGGACGATGGAGAGGGCGGGGAGGGGCGTGAAGGCGTAGCGCGGCTTGGTGGCGGACAGGGCGTACTGGCCTGATGTTATCTGGTGTAGGCTGTACTGACCCTGCTTGTTGGGGGAAGAGAGGCAGGTGGGTAAGGGAAGCACTGGAATCAGATGGCAAGTGGAGTTTTTGGTGGCGGACAGGGCGTACTGGCCCGGTGTTATCTGGTGCAGGCTGTACTGTCCCTGCTTGTTCGTAAAGGAGGAGAGGAGGAAAATGGGGTGGGAAAGAGTGGGGGCGAGGGAAAAGTAGTGTCAGAACTGCAAAACAAAGAAGGTCGTTTTTGAGGCGCCTCAAAAACGACCTCAATGAAAGGGGGGTGGGGAAGAGTGGGGGCGGGGGAGAGGGAGTGTCAAATCGTCAAAACAAAGAAAGAAAGTGGTGAGGAAGCAGGGAGTGAGCAAGCGCCTGGACGTCTGTGTGTAGTGAGGTGTATTTTGAGGCGCCTCAACATACACCTCACTCCACAAAGAAAGTGGTGAGGAAGCAGGGAGTGAGCAAGCGCCTGGACATCTGTGACATTTGAGTCGACTCAAAAGTCAACTGGGAAGCAGGCCGGGAGTGAGCGCTCACGCCTGGGCGTCTGTGACGGCGCGTGAATTGCCGTTGATTGAGAAGAAGCACCTTTCTTGTACACCCACACCACCACCAACTATACCGGCCCATATTGCTTTTCCACCGCACTGCACCTGGGCGTCTGTGACGGCGCGTGGCTGGCCGTTGAGCAGCACTGTTGCTCCCTCCACGCCCTCCCCTGCACTGTCCTCCACGCGTCCAGATACAGAGAACCCGCGGACCTGAAGGAGAGAGAAGGGGGCGAGAAAGGGGGGAGAGAGGACGAGGGTTACTGGGAAGTTACAGTTCCTCTGTTGCTCCCTCCACACACCCTCCCCTGCACTGTCCTCCACGCGTCCAGATACAGAGAACCCGCAGACCTGGGGGAAAGAGAAGGGGCGAGAGAGGGGGGAGAGAGGACGAGGGTTACTGGGAAGTTACAGTTCCTCTGTTGCTCCCTCCACACACCCTCCCCTGCGCTGTCCTCCACGCATCCAGATACAGAGAACCCGCAGACCTGGGGGAAAGAGAAGGGGCGAGAGAGGGGGGAGAGAGGACGAGGGTTACTGGGAAGTTACAGTTCCTCTGTTGCTCCCTCCACCCACCCTCCCCTGCGCTGTCCTCCACGCGTCCAGATACAGAGAACCCGCAGACCTGGGGGAAAGAGAAGGGGCGAGAGAGGGGGGAGAGAGGACGAGGGTTACTGGGAAGTTACAGTTCCTCTGTTGCTCCCTCCACACACCCTCCCCTGCGCTGTCCTCCACGCGTCCAGATACAGAGAACCCGCAGACCTGGGGGAAAGAGAAGGGGCGAGAGAGGGGGGAGAGAGGACGAGGGTTACTGGGAAGTTACAGTTCCTCTGTTGCTCCCTCCACACACCCTCCCCTGCGCTGTCCTCCATGCGTCCAGATACAGAGAACCCGCAGACCTGGGGGAAAGAGAAGGGGCGAGAGAGGGGGGAGAGAGGACGAGGGTTACTGGGAAGTTACAATTCCTCTCTGTTGCTCCCTCCACGCCCTCCCCTGCCATGTCCACGACGCGTCCAGATACAGAGAACCCGCGGACCTGAAGGAGAGGGAGGAGGGCGAGAGGAAGGGGAGGAGGAGGAAGGTTAGTGTGGAGTTGCAATCAACTCCCCTGCCATGTCCTCCACGCGTCCAGATACGGACACCCAGCGTCCATGCAGGGAAAGAGATGGAGAGAGGAGGGAGAGAGGAGGGAGAGGGGAGGAAGAGAGAAGGGAGAGGGGAGGGAGAGAGGAGGAAGGCTAATGGAATTCACAATCACCTGGGAAGGTGCTACCTGGGAAAGTGTTACCTGGGAAGGTGTTACCTGGGAAGGTGTTACCTGGAACAGCTCTGCTGTAACAGCATCAGCTTGCCCCCACCACCACTGCCATCTCCTTAGCCACCATCTCAAACACCGTCGCCTCGCCCTTGTACTGGGGGACTCAACCCGTCACTGATACCACAGAAGGTGCTACCTGGGAAGGTGTTACTTGAACGGCTCTGCAGTAGCAGCATCAGCATACCCCACCGCCACTGCCATCTCCTTGGGCGCCACATCAAACACCATCACCTCCAGTGGCCCACAAGGCAGGTGCTTCTTGACAAGCAGGGTCTCACCTGGAGCGGCTCTGCAGCAGCAGCGGCGTCAGCATGCCCCACCGCCACCCCCATCTCCTTGGGCGCCATCTCAAACACCATTGCCTCTCCCTTGCATTCAGGGACCAGTGGGACCAATGCGGCAGCACTCTCATTCCTTCCCACTCACTACCACTGCCATCTCCTTACCTGGAACGGCTCTGCTGTAGCAGCATCAGCATGCCCCACCGCCACTGTCATCTCCTTGGGTGCCATCTCAAACACCGTTGCCTCGCCCTTGTACTGGGGGACTAATGAGAACGCGCCACATGGCAGCTCGCGGAACGAGAACCGCCCGTCCGCTCCCGTGGTGGTGTGGCAGAGCGGAGTTTTTCCGGGCAACGGAGAGCTGCCCGGGCCGGCCGGGCAGGTGGGAATCTTTTGAACGGAGTCGGAGAAAAGGAAGATCTGCACTCCTGGGACTGGGTTATTCTGTGAGGGAAACCGGGGGGGGAGGGGGGAATGGGGAAAGGTGAAGGGTGCAGTGGGGTGGGGTAAGGTGAGGTGGGGTGAAGTCGGAGAAAAGGAATATCTGCACTCCTGGGACTGGGTTTTCCTGTGTGGGAGGAAAGGGGAGGAATGGGGAAGGGGAAGGGTGCAGTGGTGTGGAGTGTGGAGTGGAGTGGGTTGGGGTGGGTTAAGGTGGAATTGGAGAAAAGGATTTTCCGCACTCCTCGGACAAGATTTTTCTGTTGCACAGGACAAAGGGAGGGGAAGAGGGGGAGGGCTGGAGGAGGAGGGAAGAGGAGGAGGGAAGAGGAAGCGGGTACTTGGTCCATGCGCGCGCCCTGGTCCGCGCGTGAGCCCTGGTCCGCGCGTGAGTCATGGTCCGTGCGTGAGCCCTGGTCCGCGCGCGCGCCTTGGTCCACGCGCGCGCCTCACTTGGCCCGCGCGCGCACACGCGCGCCTTACTTGGCCCGCGCGCGCGCTTCACTTGCCCGCGCGCGCGCTTCACTTGGCCCCCGCGCGCGCGCATCTTACGTGGCCCCCGCGCGCGCGCGTTTTACTTGGCCCCCGCGCGCGCGCCTTACTTGGCCTGCGCGCGCGAGCTTTACTTGGCCCACACGCGCGCGCACGCGTCACTTGGCGCGCGCGCGCGCCTTTCACTTGGCCCAACGCGCCTCACTTGGCGCCTTGACCAATGCGCGTGCGCCTGGACCAACGCGCGCGCACCTGGACCAACGCGCGCGCCTGGACCAACGCGCGCGCGCCTGGACCAATGCGCGCGCGCCTGGACCAACGAGTGCGCGCCTGGACCAACGAGACAAGACCAGCGCGCGCGCGCCTGAACCAATGCGCGCGCGTGGACCAACGCGCGCACCTGGACCAACGCGCACGCGCCTGGACCAACGCGTGCGCGCCAGGACCAACGCGCGCGCCTGGACCAACGCACGCCCCTGGACCAACGCGCGCGCCTGGACCAACGTGCGCGCGCCTGGACCAACGCGCAACCCTAGACCAACGCGCCTCACTTGGCCCAACGCGCCTCACTTGGCGCCTCGACCAACGCGCGCGCGCCTGGACCAGCATGCGCGCGGCCAGGACCAACGCGCGCGCCTGGACCATCGCGCGCGCATGGACCAACGCGCGCGCCTGGACCAACGCGCGCGCCTGGACCAACGAGCGCCCCTGGACCAACGCGCGCCCCTGGACCACAGCGCGCGCGTGGACCAATGCGCGCGCGCCTGGACCAACGCTCGCGCCTGGACCAACGCGAGCCCCTGGACCAACGCGAGCCCCTGGACCAACGCGAGCCCCTGGACCAACGCGCGCCCCTGGACCAACGCGCGCCCCTGGACCAACGCGCGCCCCTGGACCAACGCGCTCGCCTGGACCAACGCGCGCGCCTGGACCAACGCACGCGCCTGGACAATCGCGCACGCGCCTGGACCAACGCGCTCGCATGGACCAACGCTCGCGCCTGGACCAACGCGAGCCCCTGGACCAACGCGAGCCCCTGGACCAACGCGAGCCCCTGGACCAACGCGCGCCCCTGGACCAACCCGCGCCCCTGGACCAACGCGCGCCCCTGGACCAACGCGCTCGCCTGGACCAACGCGCGCGCCTGGACCAACGCGCGCGCCTGGACCAACACGAGCGCCTGGACCAGCGCACGCGCCTGGACAATCGCGCACGCGCCTGGACCAACGCGCGCGCCGGATTAACGCGCGCGCCTGGACCAACACGCGCGCCTGGACCAATGCGCGCGCGCCTGGACCAACGCGCACGCCGGACCAACGCGCGCGCCCGGACCAACGCGCGTGCCTGGACCAACACGCGTGCCTGGACTGACGCGCGCCCCTGGACCAACGCGCGCCCCTGGACCGACGCGAGCGCCTAGACCTACGCGCGCGCGCCTGGACCGACGCGCGCGCCTGGACCAATGCGCGCGCCTCGACCAATGCGCGCGCCTGGACCAACGCGCGCGCACCTGGACCAACGCGCGCGCCTGGACCAACGCGCGCGCCTGGACTAACACGCGCGCCTGGACCTACGCGCGCGCCTAGACCAACGCGCGACCCTGAACCTTCGCGCCCCCCTGGACCAACGCGCGCGACAGGACCAACGCGCGCGCCTGGACCAACGTGCGCGCCTGGACCAATGTGCGCGCCTGGACCAACGCACGCGCCTGGACCAACGCGCGCCCTTGGACCAAGGCGCGCCACTGGACCAACGCGCGCGCCCGGACCAACGCGCGCGCCTAGACCAACGCGCGCCCCTGGACCAACGCGCGCCCCTGGACCAACGCGCGCCCCTGGACCGACGCGCGCGCCCCTGGACCAACGCGCGCCCTTGGACCAACGCGCACCCTTGGACCGACGCGCGCCCTTGGACCGACGCGCACGCCTGGACCAACGCGCGCGCCTGGACCAACGCGCGCGCCAGGACCAACGCGCGCGCCAGGACCAACGCGCACGCCTAAACCAGCGCGCGTCCCTGGACCAACGCGCGCGCATTGACCAATGCGTGGCCCCTGGACCAACGCGCGCCCCTGGACCAATGCGCGCCCCTGGACCATCGCGCGCGCCTGGACCAACGTGCACGCCTCGACCAACGCGCGCGCCTCGACCAACGCGCATGCCTGGACCAACGCGCGCCCCTGGACCAATGCGCACCCCTGGACCAACGCGCGCGCCTGGACGAACACGCGCGCCTGGACCAACGCATGCGCCTGGACCAACGCGCGCGCATGGACCAACGCGCGCCCCTGGACCAATGCGCGCCCCTGGACCAACGCGCGCGCTTGGACTCTAGCGCACGCTTGGACCGGCGCGCGCGCCTGGACCAACGCGCGCCCCGGGACAAACGCGAGCCCCTGGACCAACGCGCGCCCTTGGACCGACGCGCGCCCTTGGACCGACGCGCGCCCTTGGACCGGCGCGCGCGCCTGGACCAACGCGCGTGCCTGGACCAACGCGCACGCCTGGACCAACGCGCGCCCCTGGACCAACACGCGCGCCTTGACCAAAACGCGCGCGCCAGGACTGACGCGCGCGCCTCGACTAGCGCGCACGCTTCGACCGACGCGCGTGCCTAGACCAACGCGCGCGCCAGGACCGACGCGCGCGTGCCTAGACCAACGCTCGCGCCGGACTTATGCGCGCGCCCGGACTTACGCGCGCGCCCGGATCAACGCGCGCGTCTGGACCAATGCGCGCACGCGCGCGCCTTGATCAATGCGCGCGCCTCGACCAACGCGCGCGCCTCGACCAACGCGCGCCCGTGGACCAATGCGCGCCCCTGGACCAACGCGCGCGCTTGGGCTAGCGCGCGCGCCTAGACCATCGCGCGCGCTTGGACCAATGCGCGCGCCTGGACCAACGCGAGCCCCTGGACCAACGCGCGCCCATGGTTCGCCGCCCCTAGACCAACGCGCGCGCCTAGACTCGCGCGCGCGCCTGGACCAACGCGCGCGCCTGAACCAACCTCCCCTGGACCAACACGCGTGCCTTGGTCCGCACGCGCGCCTTGGTCTGCGCGCGCATATTGGGGCGCGCGAGCGCCTTGGTGCGCGCGCGCGCCTTGGTCTGCGCGCGCGCCGTGGTTCGCGCGCGCGCCTTGGTCCGGGTGCGCGTGCCTTGGTCCGGGCGCGCGCACCTTGGCCCGGGCGCGCGCGCCTTGGTCCGGGCGCGCGTACCTTGGTCAGCGCGCGCGCGCCTTGGTCAGCGCGCGCGCCTTGGTTTGCGTGCCGCCTTGGTCCGCGCGCGCGCCTTGGTCTGCGCGCGCCTTTGTCCGCGCGCGCGCCTTGGTCCGGGCGCGCGCGCCTTTGTCCGGGCGCGCGCGCCTTGGTCCGTGCGCGCGCCTTGGTCCTTGCGCGTGCCTTGGTCCGGGCGCGCGCCTTGGTCTGGTCCGTGCGCCTTGGTCCCTGCGCGCGCCTTGGTCCGGGCGCGCGCCTTGGTTTGGGCGCGCGCCTTGGTCCGCGGGCGCGCCTTGGTCCGCGGGTGCGCCTTGATTTGGGCGCACGCCTTGGTCCGCGCGCGCGCTTTGCTCCACTCGCGGGACTTGAGCTCAACGTGCAGACAAGATCACAGAGCCGTAATGCACAATCATGCACTCATGCACACTCAACTTCCTTTCTGCCTGAGCTTCCACCAAACCGAACAAGCTGTAGCACGCCACTTGGAAGAGGTCCGGGAGCTCCATGATGCACCATGGCACTCGTGCAGGCAAGAGTGAACTATCCCACAGAACCGCACACAACTGCTCAGGACCACACACAACCCGCACCCAACCGCTCACCTGTGCCTCAACCGAGCCTGACAGGCTGTATCCCGCCACTTGGAAGAGATCCAGAAGCTCCATGCTGCCCCAGCCCAGGTCCACCTTGGGATTGCCGAGCAGCTTGATGGGCCACGTGGGGTGAGAGGCGGAGAGGGTGTAGGTGCCTGCGGGTGGAGGGGATGGGGGAAGAGGGAGGGAGGAAAAAGAGGGAGGCGAGAAGAAGGAAGAAACGTGGGAGCAAGAAGGGGATGGATGGGAGAAGGGCCGTACCAACAAGCAGATCGGAGAAGTGAAAAGCACCACTCCCATCCATCGCTGCAGTCGCCATCACTAAAGTGATTTTTGCGTCCAGTCAGAAATGGCGATGGGAAGAGGGCTCTACCAACCAGCGGGTCTATTTCTGAGGCGCTTCAAGAGTGCAGTTACAGCCACAAGGAGGCTGCAAGAACAAGCAGGAGACGATTTTTGAGGCGCCTCAAAAGTCCTACCAGCCAGCGGGTCTATTTCTGAGGCGTTTCAAGAGTGCAGTTACAGCCACAAGCAGGCTGCAAGAACAAGCAGGAGACGATTTTTGAGGCGCCTCAAAAGTCCTACCAGCCAGCGGGTCTATTTCTGAGGCGCTTCAAGAGTGCAGTCATACCTACAAGCAGGCTGCAAGAGCAAGCAGGAGCGGTGAGTGTGTAACAGAGTCATATCAACAAGCAGGTCGGAGAAGCGGAAGGCACCACTCCCGTCCGTCACGGCTGTCGCCACCACCGCCGCCGCCCCCTTGCCCTCCCCGCCCTCACTGGCATTCTCACACAGCAAAAGTCTTTCTTACCAACCAGAAGGTCGGAGAAGTGGAAGGCACCACTCCCGTCCGTCGCTGCTGTCGCCACCACCGCCGCCGCCCCCTTGCCCTCCCCGCCCGCCGCCTACCCGCCCTCATTGCCAGCCCTCGTTACAGTCACAGTCACACCCGCAGGGCCCTTGGCCTGGGGGCCACAGCAGGGGCTATCGGGAGGGACCGAGCACCTACAAGGTGACTTTTGAGTTGACTCAAGAGAGGGGATGGATGGGAACAGGGTCATACCAACAAGCAGGTCGGAGAAGCGGAAACCCCCGGTTCCATCTGTCACTGCAGTCGCCACCACCTCTGCCGCCCCCTTGCTCTCTCCCCCCTCACTGCCAGCCCTCGTTACAGTCACAGTCACGCCCGCAGGGCCCTTGGCCTGGGCGGCACAGGAGGGGCTCTCGGGACCGAGCACCTTTCCAGCCAATCCGAAGCTGCCACGAAGGACGGGAGAGGGATGCAGTGGACCGGGAATGAATGGCTGGGATTGCAGCAGAGCAGTGGTAAAATCACATCATAAGGGCAGCACTCGATCAATTGCCGCAACACAAGCACAGCCGCTAATCAGGTGCCACCGACGCGCTTCCGGCTCAAGTCAGGGGGACAGCTGCGGCACCATAGACAACCAAAGCCAGTCCCCCACTACCTTTGATGGATAGCTGTGATGGAAATTGACGTCCTTATTGCCATTGCACGCCTCTGAATCGACTGTCACTGACACTCTCTCCCAAACAGCACCGAGAGTTTAATCAAAGCGCCATCCCATCCCCCCCCACTCACCCCTTGTGGAGGAAGTTGACGCCTTTTTTTGCATTGCACGCCTCCCCATCAACTGTCACTGACACGCTCTCCGCTCGAACGACCACCCAGGGGATTGTTTTACATGCCTGAAACGCCAAGAGCTCACGCTCCCCTTTCCCCTCCGTATCCCCCCTTAATCCCTCACCCCTTGTAATGGAAGTTGACGTCCTTATTGCCATTGCACGCCTCCCCATCGACTGTCACTGATAGGGGGGTTGCAGCCCCCCTATCCCCTCCATACCCCCCTTTCTTGCTCACCCCTTGTGATGGAAGTTGACATCCTTATTGCCATTGCACGCCTCCCCATCGACCGTCACCCACACACTCTCCGGCTTCAACCAGCAAGCTCGCCTTGTGCAAGTTGCGCCACTCACCCCTCCCCCCTCCACGCCCTCTCACCCCTTGTGGTGAAAATTGACGTCCTTGGTGCCATTGCACGCCTCCCCATCGACCGTCACTGACACTCTCTCCGGCTCTAACGACCATCCAGGGGGGGCTAGAGAGCGCCTCAACCACCAAGTGTTGACTTGAAGCCCCCTTTCGCCTGTTCCCCCTTCCTTTATCCCCCTTCCCCCCCCACTCACCCGTTGTGGTGGAAGTTGACGTCCCTGTTGCCATTGCACGCCTCCCCATTGACTGTCACTGATATGCTCTCCAGGCCAAATCACCACCCAGAGGGGGGTGTTTTAGGCGCCTCGAACATCGAGGGTTGCAGCCCCCCTATCCCCTGCTTACCCCCCTTTCTTGCTCACCCCTTGTGGTGGAAGTTGACATCCCTGTTGCCATTGCACGCCTCCCCATCAACCGTCACCGACACGCTTTCCGGTTCGAACGACCACCCAGGGGGACCTCTCACTGCCAGCTCGAACGTTCCCTGTGGTTGTAACGAGAGAGAGATTTGACACAATGTGTGACTGTAAGGGGGGAGCACGGGGCATGTTGCAATAGAAGATGAATGCAGTCAACTGCCACGTATACACTCTCCAGCTCACACGACCATCCCGGGGGGCCCCGCAAGGCCAGCTCAAACGTTACCTGTGGTTGTAAAAAGGAAATGGGGGCAGCACACGGGGCACAGAGGAATTATGAGGGAGGACAGGGCGTGTCATCTCGGGAATGTCACATTACCTTGGGAATGTCACATCACATTGGGAATGTCACATCACCTTGGGAATGTCACATCACCTTGGGAATGTCACATCACCTTGGGAATGTCACATCACCTTGGGAATGTCACATCACCTTGGGATGTCACATCACCCTTGGCAGAATGACCCACCTGGGTATAGACCGGCAGGAAATAATAGCCGTTGGGCGCACAGTGCGCTTGCTCCTTCACCATGCCCTCCTGCGTGCGCAGCTCCACCTGCCAGCATGGGAGGAAGAGGGGATGGGGTAGGGAACACGGATGCAGTGAGAAGAACAGGCTAACAACCATGGGGTGAAAACGGGCTTTCAAATTCCGAAGCGAAATCGGTGGAGCAAAAAATAAAACCTGCAATGTCCTTACGGGATCTGGAGCGTGCCTTCATGCACAGGTGCTCCACCGCACTGCACCGCACCGCACCACATCACTAGTCACACCTTCTCAAACGACACCAAACCACACCATGCCCCACCACACCAGACAGAACCACGCTGCACCAAACTGCACAAGACTGTACCACAAGGCGTGAGTAGTCGAGCGAGGCATCGGAGTCTGCACGCAGCGATGCGAGCTGCCTGCTGGCCTGGCGACGGTCAGAGGTGGGCGGGGAGGGATGAGAGAGGAGACAGGACATGGGGAAAAGGCGAGGGGAGAAGGAAGAGTGTGACTGTAGGTCGAATCAGAGTCTGCACGCAGCGACGCGAGCTGCCTGCTGGCCTGGCGACGGTCAGAGGTGGGCGGGGAGGGATGAGAGAGGAGACAGGACATGGGGAAAAGGCGAGGGGAGAAGGAAGAGTGTGACTGTAGGTCGAATCAGAGTCTGCACGCAGCGACGCGAGCTGCCTGCTGGCCTGGCGACGGTCAGAGGGGGGGCGGGGAGGGATGAGGGAATCAGGAGGCATGCGACTTTGGGAGTCTACTTTAAAGGCGCCTCAAAATCAGGAAATGGGGAAGAATGCGAGCGACATTTCAGTCGACTAACATTATGCGAGAGTCACAGCGATGAGCGCGAAGTGGGGAGACGCGGCGCGAGATCCTCGCATTTATATCATACGGTACTAACCTTACCGTGCCAGAAAGAATTCGCTAAACATGCAACGCGGAATAAAATCGTTCGTATCTGCAGATTGCGTGAACCATCGCATCGGATCCCGATCCACTTTGTCACCTAGTGAGAAATGGCAATCCACTTACTCCGCGCATTACAAATCGTGGCGCATAATACTCACTTACGAGCATATTATCAGCCTGACTGTGTCTTGAAAACGTTTTACAAAACTGACACGTCCTTGACGAGCAAATCATGAGCCTACCTGGACAAAACCTCCGCATCCAATCACGTCCGCTGCCACGCCACTCTCTCCCAACTGCCACATCAGCACGATGCTGACGACGGCAAAGCGGATCCACGACGGCCAGATCCGTTGCGAAACTGCATCGCGCGACGCGGGACGCATCGCGAGTCGTTCGTCAGATCTGTTCCTCGAACCGGGTATTGCGCGCGTGACTGCGCTCTAACCTTGGCCTGAGCGTTGGATGCGGCGCGGATTCCGGAGGCTCTGACAATGCCTTTGTCGAAAGGCGCGAAGCGCTCAGAGAAGCAGGCCTGTCAGGACCTCGGATCGGATCAGTGCCTAGTAAGAGAGAACAAAAACTTGTACGGGATTTAGAGATTCGGTCATGTTTGGTGAAAGTGTACACTTAAGTGGCAGCAAACCAGGGGACTACGCTCACCAAGACGGTATGCAAATTCTTCAGCACCAGCATGTAACTAATAGGCTATCTAATGTATGCTAAAAGGTGCCTTTATAAAATTTGATGTGAATATGCGTATTCTAAGCCAATTTATTTGTGAGAATGTAAGGTGCGTAGTTCATATACCTTTCTAGAAAACACAAGATGCGGAATTTCTTTGTGGGGCGTTCATAATTTGAAAGAATGAATATTTCATTATGAATCGACCCAGAAATCGTTCCTTGTGCATGTTGGAAACAGTCGTTCCTAAGCGCCTCTAACGTGTCAAAACACTAAGGCACAAGTGAAGCAGAGCATATCGAGGCACCAGCGAGTCAACCCTCGGAGGTTGAAGTAACCGCTGGAGGTTACGCGAAAGTCTAAGGTCAGCGACCTTTGACCTGACAAATGCAGTGCGACAGCAAGGACACACAACTGACTCGTTACAGAGCAGTTGCCCGAGTCGTCACTATATCGAACCGCAACAGCAACAGTGAAGTAGTTATAACTGTGTCTCTTCATATTCTCTGTATTCATATATAATCTTGTATCTCTTTGCTTTAATCAATTCACTTTGCCCTCACATACTAGCGCAAGGTGGTTCACAAACTCTTTATTAAGACGCTTCCGCTACTACATCAACTCTACCCAGAATTCACCTCTGCAAAGATCCTAAGGGCCTTTACAGCCAGGGCCCACGATATCAGGGCAAAACATCCTGATTACCCTGATTTCAGGATGGTGTCTTAAGTTTGCCCTGGAATTTCAGAATGATGCTGAAATTTACCCTGTGACATCAGGATGATCCTTGTGTTTTGCCCTGAAATTTCAGAATGGCAGTGATTTTTTGCCCTGAAGCGTTAGGGTGAATGTAGAGGGATTCCCTGACTCGTGGGAAGGGGAGAAAGGGTGGAGGGGGGAGAGAGGGAGAGGGAGAGAGGGGAGGAAGGAGGCTGGAGGGTGTGTGTGCTAGTTTTGTCCTCACCCCTCCCCCACCAATGTTTTTGCTCCGCCAGTAGAAGTGAAACCAGTGAACAACCTGCTCCTTTCGTGCCTTCCCCTCCATCCTCTCTAGTGCCTCGTATTTTTTGCCCTGAATCATCCATATGAATTTCTGCTAGTGCCCTGAAATTTCAGGATGGCCAGAAAATTCTGCCATGAAGAATCAGGGCATTTCAGAGATTTTTCAAAAGTTACCTTGAGGGCTTAGGGTGCCCAAAATCCTAGCACAGGCCCTGTTTACAGCCCAACATGGTATGAGAGCTATCAGGGGGAATTCGACTTACATACCAACAATGTCAATCAGCATGGCTACACAAAAGGGAAGGAGCAACTCCAACGGATCCCAGGGCACTACTCCTACTCCACCTCCTGCCTCTGGCCTACAGACAGAGGAGGGCACGGCAACAAGACCCAGAGCAACATCTACTGAGACTCCCGCAAATCATCCTGCGGACTTCGACCAGAGCATGATGGAGAAGTTTTTCTCCTTCATGTCCTTCTACGAGCAACACCAGCAATCGGCACCTGCGCAATCGCACAACAGCAACATCAACGGAGCAACACCCATGAGTCTCGACGGCTCATCGTATGCACGAGGAAATCGGCAACAGCAGCCTACCTTTGCTCTGTACGAGCGCGGATCCATCACCTTCATGCCACACCCACAGCCCTTACCTGGACAAGAAAAACAACTGGACGCACTACAGGTTCAGTCGCAGTTCGCACATGTTCGGAAGATGCAGACGTCAAGACCTTTCGATGGAAAGGATTTCTTCACCTGGTCGTTCGAGTTTGAGCTGATGATGGAAGGCGCGCAGATACTCGGGTTCTTCGACGGGTCCCTGCCATACCCAACAAACGGCACACAGTACGAGAAGCAGCAGTACACCTATCAGTCAATGATGGTGTACACGATCCTACTGAGAAATATCACCCCGACTCAACAGCAGAACATAAGGACTTACCGAGGTTACGGTAACTCCGCGGAGCTCGCGTACAACCACCTGAAGAGCCTGTATCAAGCAACTGACAGTGTAAGTCAAAGTCGGTTAATGGCGCAACTAACAACAGTTGAAATGAAACCAGGGGAGAAAGGAATGGCGTATATTAGTCGATGTCACGAATTGCGCGACAAGCTTCTTCGACGCGGAGGGTCGATTTCTGAAGACGCCTTCGTGACAGTCATCATCGGCGGCCTCGGTCCTCAATGGCGCGCCACAAAGGCCATCCTCCGAGCTCACGGAAGAATCTCCGAAGCAGCGCTCTGCACTGAAATCCATGCCGAGCAGCAAGACATGGACCTGCAAGAAGAACGACATAAAAAGAAGACGTCAGCACCAGAGTTCGCGTTCCACACCCAGCGACGCTACAACAACAACAACAGCCGGCAGCAACAACTGAAGCCAGTACCTCCGTTCTGCCACATCTGCAAAACTTTAGGACACCCGCGCACGCACTGCCCGAATCGTCAACAATCAACAATCCCGCAGCGGCAACTTCGGCCTTCAAGCGGCCAAGTCGCCTCAACGCAGACAAATCCTACGACTCAGATTCAAGCTTCAACGACTTCAACAGGACAACCTGCACAAGGAGCAAGAAACATCGTCAGCTGCATGACAAAGATAACAGACTCCTGCATCACCGAGTCACCAGCGCAGTACTCACCGGAAGAACGACTTGACGAAACCACACCCTGACGCGAGTCACTTCAGCCGACCCGACATACGCCACCATCGCCCAAAGCGAACCATCCGGAAGGGACACTTGGTTCCTGGACAGTTGCTGCGGACAACACATGTGCTCCTCAGGACGCTTCGTTCAACGAGAACACCAGCTCCAACGCGAAGTCGTCATTTTAGTCGCCAACAATCAAAACCTGCGAACACGACGACAAGGCGTAGTTCAACTTTTGTCAAGGGAAACAAACGTCGTACTACAGATGTCAAAGGTACTAATCGCGGAGGGACTCGGCTACAACTTACTGAGCGTCAGCCAGCTGATGTCGAAGAGGATTCACCTCGAAGCAGACAGTACCACTCAAGAATTCAAGCTGTATCACGGGAGAGGAGGACTCTACATCGACAGGGCGGTCCTCAAGAACAACGTCTTCGTTCTTGACTTCGTCCCTGACCTTGGCACTGCCGACAGCGACTCCATCGTCAACTTCACCGACTGGACACACCCTCCGGACCTTGATCCAGACTTCAGTCCAGAAGGCCTCTGGTACTCACACACCATCCCTGAAGCAGAAAGAGCAAGGGCGTTAGCAACAATCCAGACAACATCAACAGCAGCCGAGACAACATTGACAGCAGCAGAGACAACATCGGCAGCAGCAGAGACAACATTGGCAACACCAGAGACAACATCGGCAGCAACAGAGACAACATCGGCAGCAGCAGAGAGAACAACGGTAGCAGCAGAAACGTCAACACCAGTTGGTGGTCCTTCAACGGCACCACTCCTCATCGACGACACACCACCAAAACCAGTGCAACAATTGCACCCAGCACCACGAGAAGTTCATCGCAGTGCCAACTTCACCGCCAGCTTCTACTCCAACTCCGACATGTACCGACGATCACCCGGACATCGCGCCAACGAAAGCACCTGGCACGCAAGGTTGGGACACCCAAGCAACACAGTATTAAACAATACAATAAGAGCAGGAGTACTTGACAAAGACTCACTCCTACTGACCGACGAACGAGAACTTCAACGGGCGCGAGGAACATGCTTCACCTGCCCTAAAGGCGACTTACCGCATCGACCATTCGCGTCACATCACAACCCAAGCGCTCCCGCGTACGCATCACTCGAGAAGGTGTATAGCGACATCCTATTCAATCGGGAACCAGGACAAGTCACATACAACTACACCATCACCTTCATTGACGCCGCCACCCGTTACGTCTGGCACCTAAACCTCCCTAGCCGCGACATGGCATTCGCAGCCTTCGTTGCCTTGCTACCAGTAGCAGAGAGAGAGTCGGGCGTACAACTGAAAAGCTTCCAGTCAGACGGAGGAGGAGAATACACCTCTCAACGATTCAAGCAGTGTTTGGCAGAAAGGGGAATCAAGCAGCTCATCTCCCTTCCCTACGCCCATCAGCAGCAAGGAGTAGCAGAAAGAATGAACAGGACCTTGCAGAACACCATCCGCAAACTGTTACGTGGCATGCAACTACCCAACCACCAATGGCTTGCAGCAATGGACGACGCTTTCATGCTGCACAATTTTCTGTCGTCGTCATCACTTCCGAACAACGCATCACTGCATCTGCTATGGACAGGGAAACAGGGCAGCACAAAAATGTTACGAGTTTTCGGGTGCATGGTACAGTACCGACCCTCAGCAGCACGAGCGGGCCGATTTTCTCAACGAGCACAGTGGGGACTACACCTGGGCATCGAAAAGAACTACAACGCGTGGAAAATCTTCGACGTCCACTCCAAGGAAACAGTAGCAGCACGTGACGTAATTTTCTACGAACGGCTCACGCTCCAGACGTACCTTGCCAACTTACAAGAAAACGAAAATCCCACAGGTGGTCTTCGTGGTGACCGAGCCTTCGCCTCAGCAGCGGACGAAGCAGACTGGGACGAGCAGAATGTGGACAACGCATCACAAGAAGCCGGACCTCTTCCGTTTTGCTCCGTCGACGTTCCCATGGACGAAGACAACCCTCGCGAAAGTGCCAACGCCAAAACCTTCTACCAC